ATAATGTCTGTTAATTGCTATCTCATCATACAGATTCATACAGTCCACTCAAAAGCACACACCATTTATTCATTTATGGATACATTAATATCATTTCAATTCCAAATGAAGTTTTTTCTGAAGAAAGAATGCATATTAAGGTGAATAAAGTCAATGAATCACAACAGTAGCAGTAGTTCTCTTAAAACTAAAAATTGCGTTGATTGTGCCAGCACAATCTGGAGCACAACCAGTGACACATGCTATGTTTTCTTCTATTAAGCAACTGATATTGAATTCACACCCTTATATATGTTTAAACATATGTGATTGAGAGAGAATCTGATCTACAACATAACCATCTAAGCATAATATGAACATGTTTATGTTAATTCGCATAAAAAACATAATGGTAATAGTGCTGATCCTTGTTTTACACCTATTTTCTTCCCTTAGTGGGCACATAATGCATCTAAAATGATTGCTGAGGTTCAAGAGACATAAAAGTTTCATTTGAACTTAAATCTAGCACTTGTAGCTCAATACATGATTATATTTTTCATTTGTATTAACATTTGGAAAGATCGTCGGATATATTGGCGGCCATCTTGAATTTTGGGACCAAAAAGTGAAAATTTTTCTTGCGGCCACGGATCAATTTTTTTAAAACTCTCTAAAGAAACTCTGTACCAAAATTCACGCTTCTATCACAATTTGAAACGTTCTGGTGGTATTCACATTGAGAGGTGTTCAGATTAGAGTGGTGTTCAGATATAGAGGTTTTACACTACAGTATATACGTAAAGCTATACATTGTTTGGTTATTCATTTCATGCTCTTTTCAAAGACTGGATAATATCTGTAGCATCCTAGCCTGCAGATTCTTTTTGACAGTGAACTTGTTGAAATAAAGAAAAACAGATGAGTTTGTGAATTGAGTTTTTCTGCCTCCAAACATATGTTCGGTGATAGCATAGAATTATTAAGCCTTGACATACTAAGTGTTTTAACATTACATTTTGTTAACAAATTCTACCCTTTTTGGGCTCTAAGGCATAACACTGGGCTATCATCTTCACCAATATGTCTGGAATACAGACAGATTGTACAGATGTATATTTCATAAAATGACTCACATGAGACTGAGGATTAACAATAGAGCATATTCAGCATATGATCCAACAGAATATGAGTTCACTGTTAGATCTAGTATATTGTATACTTAACCATGTTACAAGCATCTGCAGTCTTTATAATATGATAAGCAGTCAAGATGACATTGCTATCCAAAAAGACTTATGATGTAGATTATAGGCTTTTCTATTACAGACATGTTAAGCGTATTTATTGAATTGAGGAGTTTTGTAATCATTCTTCTATTGTATTCATTGGTAAATGGTTAGAATCCTCTTGTTGAATTGTTCAAATATAGATCGACTTAATTGTTGTTTGGCGGTCTGTTTATATTCTCATAGTTTCTCCTGCAGAAAAAAGCTGCAAGGGGTGAATTTTATTGGTGAATGTGTTATGATATTTAATTGCAAGACTTGCAAGATAGGCTCAGTAGTAAATATAATAAATGTAAATATTGATATTTTCATAATTTGAAATAGCCTATTTGCCACACGTCTTTATATCCAGGGTTCATACACAAATAAACCTATATCTTGCATTCCCTTCGAAATAGTTTTTGAGTAGAGAGGATGGTCTAGATTTTATTTCTGCCATTATTATTTATATTTAAGATTGTCTAATAAAAATATGGTCTCAGTTTTTTCATGACACAAACTGCCCGCTCATTTGGGAGGAAGGAGAGTAGGTATGGGTTTGTGAATTTTATTTATGTCACAGATTTTCTGAAATATCTAACAAACTATTGATTTACTTTCATGTCTGAGATAGTCACTGAATATTACAAGAGATTTTAGGTAGAAAAATGGTTAGCTTAAATCAGATAGTGTGATGCATCATACAAAGATGCAGGGTGGAAAAATAGGTGCAGGCCTGTCAACTTGGGAACACCTAACATGAGTGACTTGGAAATGTTGAACACCTCCCCTCAAAATGTGGACACCTTGGTCCAAATCTGAACACCTTGATCCAAATTTTGAACACCTTGGTTTAAATTTTATTACATCTTGCCAAATTTTGAACACCTCAAATTTTTCGGGGGGGGGGGGGGTAATTCGCGTGAAAAGTCTGAACGAAATGCGTACGTTTTTTTCCGGCGTTCGTACTTTTGCTGTGCAGACGATCTTTTTTAGAAATTTTTCTACAGAAATATTTTTGCTTGACAATTACCAGGTAAAATGCGTATTTGCGTGACATTTTCTGTCACGCAAAAATAACTGGCGTGACTTCAAATTCTTCAGCAAATGCGTGACAAATACGCAAATTGCGTGACAGTTGACAGGCCTGTAGGTGTGACAGTAAAAGTCAAAGATTAAAATTCTTCCTGGCTCATAAATTAGAAACCAAATAAGCTGTGGTTTAAACAATGATAACTTATATGAAAAAGATCAGTATAACCTCACCATTTCCTGATGTTGCCCGCCTAAACTGCAGGCAATAAGTAGCATTTTCATTTAAAGTAAGAAAATCACAATTGCAGGAGTAACAGTTCTAATTTTGAAGGGAGCACTGGAATTGAAATAGCTACTGACACGAGACCCTAAGAAAGGCTAATATATTTTTGTTCTGATGTTGCCCTTAGTGTGCTGTATATACCTTGTTATCTCTTTTGAATCAATGTGGAATTTTAACACAGTAATATCTCATCTGTGAAACAATTTTATTGCTTCAGATAGTGTTTATTACATGTATACATATGCAATATTAAACAGTCTGATTTGAATCATGGTTTTATCAGTATGCCAGAAGTGATTTGAATTTGGCCTGAATCTGTGTTGGTCTACCATAAGCAGTTAAAACAAAATTCAACATCAGCTTAAAAAATAGAAAATATGTTGATGATTTGTGCTCTGTTAATGCTGCCCTCTCATATTTTACTATGTTGATCCACTGCCCTGTACAGGCCCTTATACAAACAATAAAATCATGAGGACTTTGTCAAACTTATATTTGAGCTGCCTTATAAAAGGAAAACTGCTCAAATCTGAGCAGTTTTCCCGGTTTATATACAGTGCTGTGTAGTGATAGTTCTGCAATATTGAGATATGAGCTGATGAGGTGATGACATCATCTTTGAGATTTCTGTAAATCGGTTCATACTGTAAAAATCATGATGGTGTGATTCATGCTCAGATCATAATGCTTCTAGGATTTTTTGTGAATAATTAAATCTATTACAACTTCCTCATCTACATGTACTGTATACACTCTAAAAGTGCTATGCAGTAAATCCTGTATATACAAACACATCTCTAATCTGAACACCTGTTCATATGAACACTTTTTTGTTCCAATTTTTTTTCATCTCAATTGACTCACGTCTAAAAACACCTAGAAATGTGAACACCTGTTAATCCAAAAATTTTCCAATTGGTGTTCTGATTTGACAGGTTTTGCTGTATTGTAGAGGGCAATATGGCTATGGCTATATGGTATAGAGACTAGAGTTCGAATCCTAATTGTTGTTTATATTAAATAAACTGCAATTTGTTTAACATGAAAAAATGTTGAATTGCTCACTGGCAATTCTATGATGTCCCGAAGAGAGTCTTTGACACGTTTTATTTGTTTTATTTCTAAATAGGTCAGAAATAAAGAATTTTTATAACTATTGATTTTCATGAACTCAGCTCACACATTCTATACAAACTTTAATTTAATATACTCCTCAAGAGTAACCCCACTTAAACTTCATCAAATGTTTAAAGTAAAACTTAACAATAATCTTTACAGTAACCTTGAATGAATGTAGATGTGTATTTAAAGATTAGTAGTAATCACGATCCTAATATGTAGCATATATTTAAATGATGATTCAATTTTGGAGGCTATTCAGATAAGGTATAATACTATAAGGACCCAGTTTATAAGGTATAACCGTGTCAAATTCAGATGTTAATTACAATTAATTAAATTGTGTATGTTTGCTTTCTGAAATCTAAGCATCTTCACAGATATGTAAAAATCACATGATATCATGTATATCAAGGTCTGTGATTTACATATGAATAGTAGCAAGAAATACCAACATGTATTCCAAAATATTACAAGAAAAGAAACACTTAGGACCACAGCAAGTCCCAAATAAACCCCAAAGAAACCAATTCTAACACACCCTCACCCTACCATTCTAGAAAATTGAGATTATCGGATTTTGCCTTGACTTGGGACCATCTAAATGTCAATGTTGATAACTACAAATGTAACCACTACTACCCTTGATGATGTTGACAATGAAATAAAATTCATATTTGACCTTAAAGTTGACATCTAGTCCTCAGTAATGTTCATTGGCCTTGGAATATAATGATATTGCCTCTAACATTGTCATTTCTTGGATATTACTACATTCACATTCGCCTACCTTTAGGACAGAATTTATTTTTAGAAACACATTTTAACTAAATGTCATTTGAATCATTCTCAAAAATGAAAGTGAAATAGTTTATGTCCTTATTTTATTTCTGCTGTTGTAAGAGGTCAATGAAGAATGTAAATATAGGATAAAACTTAAGTTGACTTTGATAAAAATCATGGGAAACCACCGTTGAATAGCATAAAGTATCCATTCACCTCACAAAGTACTACTGTATTAGTATTATCTTTTTTGATGGTGGTATAGGAACTTTATTGGGAATTAAATGTACACACTAATGTTTTATTACATATCAGTTTTTAAAAACAAATAATGTTTCACCCAACAGAGAATTTGAAGGTTTATCTGTATTTATTTGAGGTTTATTTACATCCATTTGATTCTGGAAATAATTTTGATTTTGGACTATTAAAAATTATAATTTTAAACGCTGAAAAATCCTGCCTTATACCAAAAAAGAATTTCTCTGATGTTAAAAATCCAATTATAAATGTTGCCCCTTGTGTTTTTCCAGATGTACATAGAATTCTGTGGCGGAGGTGCTGTAGACAGTATAATGCTGGAGCTGGAGAAACCTCTTACAGAGCCACAGATAAGGTCTATATGTAAAGAAATGGTCGAAGGTCTCGAATTCTTGCATCAGAATAAAGTGATTCACAGGGACATGAAAGCTGGCAATGTGCTGCTTACTTTGGATGGCCAAGTAAAACTTGGTGAGTTGAGCATTGAGCAGTTACATTAATATAAAGTACATGTAAAACATTCGTTAGTAGAACACCTTTCGTACCTCTTAAAAGTGTTCTGTTTACAGAGCTTCAGTGGGTCATGGGACCTCGAAGTGTTCTACTCATAAAGGTGTTGGACTGTTAATCTGCTTACAAAGGCGTCCCACTTTACAGATTTTACTGTGTTTCGATGAATGCATCTTAGATTACGAGAAAGTTAGAGCATATAGTGCATTACTTCTGGGACAACCCTCGTATTTTATGTTGAGCCTATAAGAGGAGCTCTGATGTATTTGTATGAGGTACCAAGATGGTAATATTATGCACTTTGAACCACATCCTGGAAGCTAGCCCTAAAGTATTGATCTTGTGTCTATTTGGTGGAATAATTTTCTGAAAATAAAGCAAACAAGGATGCACGATAATTGCTGAACTGCTCTGTGTAATATAAAGATCTGTTAATAAAAGTATAATTGTATTTCACCTCAATTCCTGATTGTGGTTAAAGCAATGCATCGACGAGAGATATTTTCTAGCAGATGACTAAGTGTAGCAAAATTGAGACGAATGAGAAATAAACTTAATTATCACAGTTCAATGGATATTAATGTCATTATGGATGTCATTTCTTTCAGCTTAAGTAGATATAGTAATGATTTGTTATTTGGAAGAAGTTCACAAAAACATTATTTAATTGCTGTTATTTTCTTGTTAAGTTACATTATTTGTAACAGCATTTAGGTCACCGTAACCTGATCTCGACTGATATATAGGCCATTAAGTTTGGTTTTGAGTATTCTACAGAAAACTCTGAAATGCAGACACTATAGTTCTAGACGAAACTCTCTCTAACAGATATGAAGTCAAACTTGTATTCTCTAACTAACCCATTGTTACCCCCCCCCTCCATTTTCCTCAACAGAAATCCTGGATGGGATATAGATGGAGCTGACCAGACTTTATACAAGACCTTCTTGATTAAATGTAGTGCATGATCTACATCTGTATGTATCTTTTTTGCACTTTGAAAATGTGCTTAATTGTCATCATCTTTTGTAGATTGGGGGTATATGTGCATCTGGAATTTTTTTTACAGATGCAAGGGCGGGCCTAGTTCCAAGATCTGATTAGGTTTTTGGCATGTTGGGTAAATTATGTGTCAATCATTTTGTTTTTCAAAGTGCAGTATTTATCACTGTGTATCTTTTTGCAGCTGATTTTGGTGTATCTGCAAAAAATGCCAAGACCATTCAGAAGCGTGACTCGTTTATTGGGACCCCTTATTGGATGGCCCCGGAAGTTATCCTTTGTGAAACATTGAAGGATTCACCATATGATTACAAGGCAGATATATGGTCACTAGGTAATGTATTAACCATAATATGTCTGTTTTCAAATGTATTTCTTCATCAGTGTCTCTTCTCGGCTTTGCAGTATGTTTTTACTTAATTTATGTCACCTTTCATGGTATCTGATGTTAATAACTTTAGATTTCATACTTTCTACTTTCTTGCCTCAGGGATAGAATTATATTTCTTTTGAAGCTGTGCAATTAATATTTTGCCCATTTCGTTAGCACTGTTACTGATTTTGCAATAGAAGAATAACAAATTAAAATTAGTACATTAGAACAAAGAGAGGGATTAACCCCAGAGTTCAAAATTTGCGAAAACGAAGGTGGTACGCAAGAGACGTAATATGTCTGTCATCGGTAAAGCTCTGGGGCTTTCCCTCCTCTTATTAGAATATTTCGATTGTCCAGTATTGTTCTGGTTGTAGGTGTAACACTGATAGAGTTTGCAGAGATGGAGCCACCCAACCATGAGATGCATCCAATGAGAGTGCTGATTAGGATACAGAAGTCAGACCCACCTACTCTTTGTGCCCCCTCTAGATGGTCAGTTATTATTAAATAGACAAGATATTTCTGTCTAAGTCACAGATCCATTTAATTATTTGAGGTTATAGCATCTATTAAGTCACTTACCTCATCATTTTTCATGAAATATTTCATTTTTTGCTTTTGCATAACTTGAAAATATATCAAAATATTTCACCCATCCGTGGTACAGATTTTCAACAGGTTGGCATCAAAATTTTTGAATTTTCAACAGGTTGGCATCAAAATTTTTGAATTTTCAACAGGTTGGCATCAAATTTTTGAATTTTCAACAGGTTGGCATCAAATTTTTGAATTTTCAACAGGTTGGCATCAAAATTTTTGAATTTTCAACAGGTTAGCGTGGTCCAGTTGCTCTGATTATAGGAAGAATATTGAATTTATGTCATGGCTGTTTAATATTCAAACTTTATCTCACCTCTACCTGCTATGAATTATTCTAATTAGCAAGAATTCAAATCAGGATATTCGGCAAGATCCAACACTTGATAACTTTAGGGATGGTGTCAAAAAATCAACAGTTTGGCTTTGGATGAACAAAATTAATTTAAAGAGGGGAGGGAGTAAATGATGATTTTATCAGTGAAGAATGTTCAGTTATTGAACAAGTTAAGTGAGAGGTAAATCAACAATTTCAACTTTATTTGGGGGATGGAATCGGTTCACCTTCTTCTTTTTACCATCAATTTCATCACTGTTAACATTTGGATACCATCCCTCGGTGTATAATATAACTCCTCGTGCATATATTTCCATGCGACATTCTCCATGGCTGAATACAGTGGTTGAACATAACACTAGACTCCAAGCGAGTGAAGTATTTAAGGTTATTTATGAAAAGAAAAATCAGATTCTGTATCAATCAAACAGATATGTTTAAACAGTGGAAAGATATGTTGAAGAAGAAGCTTGGGATTAAACTTCACAGACATGAGGTGGAATATACTGTAGATAGACATGGTCAGATTGTGAAGGTGCTGCATTTCAGGTCGAAGGAGTTCAGCAATTTCATAGCTGCGTGTTTAGTGAGAGATCCTGAGGCTAGACCCACGCCAAGTGCTTTACTCAAGGTGAGCCTGAATTTTAAAATAATTTAAGGAAATAAGGGTTTTTCATTTTGAGATCCACAGCCTATGCCACCCCATGAAAGTTTTATTCAGGTATTAGATGACGAGCTACTCTGATATATGAGAATGGTGGTATTTTATTATTAAATAATTATGATTGTCACTATTCTCTTCATTAAATTAACATACTTATCACTTTTAAGTTTTACATCAGCATCAAATAAGAAATATGGGTTTTCTACATACTACTTTTCTACATAAGAAATGGCGCTTGTATCATCCATTTTTACAGAATTCTTTGTGCTGTCACTATATACAGGCCATCCAGTAAAGTTTCTATGTAGAAATTAAAGCATAATTACAGTGTTCTGTCATATATGAGACACCCTGTACAGTACCTAACAATAAAAATATTTCTGTGTTGTAGCTGATATTATTTTGTTGTAGCACCCATTTCTGTGCAATGTTGATAGTAAGCCTATCATAGAACTCATCAGTGAAGCTAAAGCTGAAGTTGTAGAGACGGTGGAAGACATTGATGATGAAACCAGGATACCTAAGGTAAAGATAATTGTCAATTCTCAATTAAGAACTGTACTTCAGGGAGTGTGTTTCAGGGTAATCATGCTGGTTACAAATTGATTATTTAAATGATGTGTCCCCTGAAATTTTGAGTAGTGAAACTAGAAATTCTACACATTTACAATTTACACTCTCCGTTCCATTTATAATTCCCTCCAAAATGTAGTCACTAACAAAAACAGTAGATTTACACATTTTACAGAAATTACAAACACAAGAATAAATGTATTACACATATTACTAATTGTGTTTTATTAATTGTGTTTACAGGCTGATTCAGATACTAAATCTGTTGATAACTTAGATATTGATGTAGACAAACTTTCCCTGACATCCTTGGATAGCAATAGGTCTGCTCCCATGACACCGGTGGTATGTTATTTACTCTTAATAAATAGTCTAATAGAATTCATCGCAGGGTTGGATGAAATATCAAAGTGGAATTTTTTGCGAATGTATTGACGAGAGGCGGGTTAATATTCAAGTTCAATTATTGAAAGCATATTGATCATTGAATGGGTGAAAATGGGACTTTAATGTGATCATTGAATTGTAAAACAGTGGGGGATGTATGAGCTTTTGTTAAATTAGTTTTGCAAAAAATACTGTGATATTTTGACCTAACCCCTAATATTGTTTGGTTCAGAAAGACATCAGGAGTTACTTAATATAAGTCCAAATTAATGACTTTCTGGATCAAACCATTTCAATTTTTGTTCGTTTCACTTACATCACATGGTATGATATTGTGTGTGATATCTAAAATGCAGTCAAAAGATATATTGGGAAATAAGACTTCAAATTTTTCAGGATGAAAGCATTGCTGGAATTCATTCTTTTGAATATTTTGTTTAGATATCATCTTTAATACTGTAATTCATATGTTTTATACTACTAGGAACAGCTGAAAATAATTCACATGTCAGAGTCACAAATGTTTTTATTTAGAAAATGAAATTTATATATATATTTCTTTTATTGACAATTGTATCAAAACATGACACATTAGTCTATGTACAAACTAGGCTGTCTTGACTCAAGACAATACTACATTATTAACTAAAGTTTGATTATTCAAAACTATACTTTAAATCTGAAAAAAAAACTTTTTCTGTGACATTTTCATGTTTTCTATATTTCATGTTGCAATGTGAATTATGAAAACGAAAGTCATGCATTAATCCACTTTGCACCCCTCCCATAACATGAACTCCATCCTTTGGATGGAGTTGATAGTAAGGGGGACCAGTGGCTTGATGCAAGACTTTCAGAAAAACTTTGTATTACAATTCACAAATCTTTGATTAATCAAATATTAATTCACAAGTTACTGTGTTCCACTTGTTGTTCACTAATTGTACCATATTAGGGAAGCTGGGATAACCTTGGATTTATCCAATTAAAAGAAAACATATTGTCCCCCTAATATACCATTGCTCACATCGGGAGTAGATTTTTTAATAGAGTTAATATATAAAGGTGTAACTGTAACTGTCCCATAGTCTAGCCTAGTTCTTTCCGTATTGATGTCTCTTGTTTTGCTTTTCAATGTTACTAGACTGCTGTTTATGGTACTATTTCTCAACCGTTCATATTTTAAAGCCAGATAGCAAGAACCTTTAAACTTTACTTGAAAGTAACTTCAAAACACTTTAAAACAAACTGAAAACTCGACAGCTTAATCACTTCATGCTTTGACGTTGTTCGCTTCTTTATATAACAAAATTAGTATTCGTGCATTTATATTTAAATAATTGTAGTATTTTGTCTAGTACTTCCAAAGATTAGTTGAAAGCATTTGTTGCGAAGGCATACTACATAACAAAACAACCCAAATTACTCTCTATGATATAACTCTTGATTATTTTGATTCATTGTACATTGATGAAACAGATAAATAAATGCTATGTGTGGCTCATGTTTGTGACAACCATGCTTGAATGTTCTGTTTGCAGTCACCATCTTCTCGATCTCTTGATTCTCCTATTTTTTCATCACCTTGCTCATCTCCGAGCTATTCGAGACAGGTATACATTAATCGCTTAAAGGAGTACTATACCCAAACTTTTCCTCTGTTGGTTTGGTTTATATCGTCAATTTAGATGGGTGGAAACCTAAATAGGATGTATAAGCATACCCACATAAAAAGAATTTGGGTGTATATTTCCTTTAATAGCTTCTATAACAAGTGGCAACATTATTACTGTAAACACCCCCTACCTTACATGTGTTGACAGAGTCAACATTTTGAACCTTGCAAAGGAGTTGATTCATCCAAATAAAATAGTTCCCTAGATTATCAAATGGGACATATCCTTGGTTGCATAAACCGTAGTTTTGTATATAATGGAGTTGATTTAATTTAATTAAAGCATAAATGTAATCCCCTCCTAGAAATTACCCCAGCTTCTCAGGCTCATTGTGGAGGTTTTGAGGTACAGGCTGCTGTGCTTTAAAATCTACTAATCATTTGTCTTCACGCTGAGTCAAAACATTGATTTCCATCAGTATATGTAATCGATTGTTTGTTTATATCTGAGTTAATATGGAGTATAGTTCATGTGTACTTCTCGCACAAATCAAGGTTATGGGGGATGATTGGGGTTAAGTAACAGGTAAATTGATTACATTTTTGATGAATGTTGATATTTTGACCCAGTCCATAAATCTACTTGGTCATTTTGAAGCTTTTATATATCATAAATATGTACATCTTAAATGCTTCAAGCTGTAGCCAATAATCTTAATAACTTTCCAATTCACCATTTCATGCAAGTACATAAAAATGATTCACATTTTGTGTCACTATAAATGGTTAATAGGAAATAGCATTGCATAACCAGGTGATGGGATTGTTGATGTTATTCATACACATATTCACCTGTATAATATTTAGGCTGCACAGCGTGATATCAAGCTATCTCGTGATTCCCAAGACCTCGGCAAAATACATACCCCTGTATCTTCCCCCGAATCAACTCCACCGCCAGGAGACAAGAATGGAAATGATGCAGATTATGAACAAATCGATGAAGAGGCTATTACCTCCCCAAGCGTTGATATCAGTAATATTCCCCCACCTCCTGAGTTCAGAGGAGCACAGAAAGAGGACACCACCAAAGCAGAAGATGAGACTCTAAGACACCTTGATGAAACCCTAGACATGTTGGATGATTCTATCGAACCAGAATGTCCAATAGAGGTCACTGTAACAGATGGTGATGCACCTATCGAACCACCACCTCCAATATGTGACCAACCTTTACCTAAAGTGCCATCGGGTGATGCAGACAATGCCACCATAAATGACATTCCTGACATAGTGCAGGATGTTGACAACAAGGCTGTAAGTACTCCAGATGATAAACCAAGTGATCTGGACTCTAAAGATGATCTAATCACTAAGATTATTGGAGGAGAGATAACTATCCCCGGTGATGCGACTGAACCTTGTGCCAATGACTCTATTACTACCCCTGACCTTGGGGTGACTGAGCCCCCTCCTCCATCTTCCCCCGAGGTAAAGGAACCTTCTCCTATTCTAGAAAATGTAGATCCTTGTAAAAAAGATGGCTCTGATTTGGACATTAACAAAACTGACACTATTGAACCCCCTGTAGAGGATTCTGAGAAAGATACTGTAAAACCTGAATCTGAATCCAACATGGATTCTTCTGAAATTAAACCCAGCATGGATGGTGAAGGTGGTGTAGTTAAGGAACCTAGTGAGGAGGTAAACTTTCTTTGTGTAAGCATGGTGGCTAGAAAACCTGGTTTTATTTATGAACCCCTCCTTGTTACCCAAGCCTCTATTCCAAATAGGAATTGTGTTGTATTGTATCAGTTGCATCTACAGGGTGGGCCAAAAAATGTTACCCGATCTGAATTGACAAGACTATATAACAGTAAGGCCCACCCTGTATTTTTGTTGTTTTAACTTATAGCTTGAATCTTGCTGTGAGTTGATTTTGTAAACTTTCAAAAATTGATAAAGCCAGGATACATGCAGTTGCTAATAAATAGGCATGCTGCAGCACACTAACCAATCGACACAAATTAAACCAGGGCTCATAATATCTTGATGGATTTCTTTTTGTTCATCTTAGAGAAGAAATTAACATGAATGTGATTATCATTTATAGGTAGTGTCAGTATGGTGAAACTTGAACTACTTTTTGATAGTTCTAAATAGATTTTGATATATTCTAATCTTGAAAGAGTCTGGATCACCTATTTAATTTGGTTTACAGTTTTGATGAATTTGGTATTTAGATAAAGCCTAATATTGATTTTGATTGAGGATATGATATAACTTTTTGTTCTTCTAGGTGTTTAATCCATAAACTAAAAAAAGACTAATATAATTATGGTATCGGTCTTTTAATACATAATTTACGCTCCATACTGACACTTCAGGTATAATCAAGTATGCACTGTTTACAATCCATTCTTTTACTAATTTTTTAATTCTGCATGATTTGAAATATTGTAAATCTGTTGTTTAATTTCAGGTGTATAATTTGGAAGATATTTTGTTGTACATTTTATTTTTCTTGTATATGATATAATTATTGTGATTTTAGGTTCTTGTTGATTTTTTGTTGTGGAATATTGTACTCATAAATTACCCAATAACAATTAGATAAATAAATTATCTAGCAATTACTACTAATCTGAATTTAATAAATGTTATGTTTTATTTAACTGCTTTGCATATTGTAGGTAATTGTAATTAAAAATGTAACATTTTATTATCTTAAATTGTCAACTTTCTGTTAGTTAATAGTATTATGTTATATTTAATGAGTTTAATGAAGGCACTATTAGATATAAGCTTAAAGAACACAATATATTTTGATATGTAATCCTTCAACAATGAAGCTCTTTAATAGTATTACAAAATTTAGTTTGATAGCCTCTTAGTCTGTATTTTCATTTTTTTGATTATTTTATACTTAGAAAATGTGTAATCATCTCAGAACATTCTAAGCTACTTTATCTCAACTATTCTGAATTCATAAGTGACAAATTGTCATTAAGTGCACAATATCCACTCTCTACATGTAGAATATATGATTTATATGTAAAATATTATGATTTCAGTCCTCCCATAGAGACCTTGAGACTTTGGACGAGAGCCCAGAGCTTAAAAAGAAGGAAGAAGAACCAGTTACAAATGATAAGAATAATGAAGTGGTCGCTGAAGAGGTTTACAAAGACATTGTTGAAGATGTGATCAAATCTGACAAGACACAGCCATCAATACCTGCTATTGTATTGGACACTGTGCAAGATATTGTGTCTGATCAAACAGAAGATAAACCTGAAGATAAGGAAGTTAAAGATGCAGTAAAAGACATTGAACAAAATGAAGTGAAAGACACTACTACTGTTGAACCTAACGAGACCCAGGAGGCAAAGATCACAGTCATAGATGATGTTGTCATTGATGACAAATCAGAAAAACCCAAACAACCCGACCCTGTTATAACAATACATGGTCATAATCTACCAGAAAAGAGCTCTATGATTATCAATGGCCATGCTGTAAAACAGGGGGATAATGAAAAGAAGGAGTCCAATGGAGGTCTTCCTTCCCCATCATCCTCTACCTCATCAATGTCTGATAGGTCATCTGAGGTCAGCACAAACTCTTCAGTGAAAGAGGAGTTCAAAAAGCCACTTCCAGTTGATCGGGCAAATGATGGTAAAATCTCTGGTGTGCAGTATAGGAAAAAACAGGCCCCAGTTAAACAACAGGTAAAACATCAGACCATGTTTTCTACGAGATTAGGCTTATTTTTCAGATAGTGAAGGACTTGCTATATTGATGAATAAATAGACAGCAAGGTGTAGTTCTGGTAGTTCTTTATGTTAATTGATGAAAGTTACTTTATTTCTTAATTAATCAAATCAAGATTAATGCAATACCAGCTTTATTTTTCAATTCGTAGTTTCTGAGTGTTATTAGAACTAGAAGTTAACATTATGAATCTTGTGATACTTGTTATTGTTGCTGTGATTTACAGAATGAGACCAAGGATCGATGTGTTCAAACTATAATGATTCAGTAACAGTGGTATGGTTGGGGTTTTCTTTAAAATATTGTTGTTTTCTACCAACCAGACCAGAATCATGAAGTCCTATTGAAGTCCATGAAATTTCCATAAAAGGTCCATGAAATCTCCATGAAAAATCCACGAAATGTCCATGAAATGTCCATGACAAGTCCATGAAATGAGACACTATTTGAAAAGTGAAGGTTTATTTTCAATCTTCCAGGAATCAACCAAGAAAACTAACTACAGAACTCTTACAAAGGTGCGTAAATATGTGGTCGATGGAGTTGTGATGACATCATCAACACAGAAAACTGTTATCGCTGGAGATGAGAACAAATATAAGGAAGAGCATGAATGGAGGTTAGTTGATTTTAATGATATTGCATAATTCATAGTGTAGAGCACTGCAGTTGAATTTAGGTCAGATGAGTTTCGAAATGTTGTATAATTAATAGTGTACAGATTCAAAATATTATGTACTTAATATTATACAACAAATTACCAGTCCGTTAATATTTGTAGTAAACAATGAGAATGGTGAGATTTTTTGTATTGTCCAGGCCGGTAGCTTTTGGCAAAGGGGGTTCACTTCAGAAAATTCCAGAAGGGGGTTCAATTTTGACAACTTTTGTGCAAAACCACTCGAAAAGTGCTCAGAATTGAAAAATTGCATGATTTTGAAAGAATTTTTGGCGAACATCGATCCAAACCCTCCCTGGCTACAGGCCTGAACTATTGGAAACAGTGCATGCCATCTTTCAATAAAGATTTGTGGCCTTGAACCACAGTAGTGTAACATATGGGTTATTGACATTTATGTGCTAGATTCCAAATCATCATCACTCTGATGAGATAATAATTGAATTTAATTGCTTTCTATCAATTTTAAATTAGATTTATTGCATTAATTGAATTAAAATATATTGGAAATGAGATTGAAGTTTTTTATACTGACTAATTGATTTGTGTGTCATATGATCCTTATGCTGGAACAGAAACCGTTATATTGGAATCATAATATAACTCATTCATTATTGTCATGAAATGCTCTGTAATGTAATATCATTCTTGATTAGTGAATGATCTGCATTGTGCTGTAATTTAAGTGATTTTCACAGCTTTTTTTGTCAGATTCAGTAAATTTAGAGTTTTGCACATCATTCAGAAATTAGGAAGTGACTCTGGCTGACTAACCTCCATTTGTTCCGAATTTTGGAATGTCGCCAAACCGATCAGTTTTTGGCCAAAATTGGGAAGAAGCTGACCAATTCTTTCTTATTGACTGGCTTAAATGTGACTGAGTTGTTGTATAATAAGTAATATCTTTAGTCTAGCATAAAGTCTATACACCCCCTGATCGACCTACTACTTCAGAGTCTTCAGACATGCACTATTCAGGAAGTTGAGATGTATAGGGGGTCAGAAGGCCTTGGGGCAAGACTACTTTATTGTTCATGTAGAGTCAAATGTAACACTTCATCTTTTGATGCAACACTTTAAAACATCTGGTAACAGCGTGTACATGACATAAGTCAGTAATAAATACTTCACTTCTAATTAATCGAATATTTCTCATTAATAATATAGGCCTTTAACTATGTGTTGAACATAGAGAACATAACTTAGTATACACATCAAAGCTATAGCATTCATTACATAGTTTAGTGAACTTAATATTGAAATTAATGTTATGATATAGAAAACATACAGATTTTACAGTTACTGTTTTGAAAGTGTATAATGGAGAATAAAGAACAACACATTATTGAGTAGCATGTATATTTGGATATTCAATGACATTCATTGTAATCAGTTAATATACATCGTCCCATGGGAGATAATATAAACACTATACAAAATGGAACATTTGGATGATTAAACTAACCTCAAATGTGATGACACTTTTCTTTTGTTTTATAATGATTGGAACATTTAGTTATAATTAATGAAAAGTAACCACCTGGGAATAGCTGCATCTGGATAGCAAGTTAACGCAACCAAGATGCCGAGCTTTAGTTCATTCAGTAAAAGGAAGCATTCTTCTTTGGGGAAGAGTTTTATGAAATCAAGCACATTTAAGCGGAGTTCTATTTTATCGTCATCATTTGGACCGAAGTCACTTCCTAAGAATAATAAACTAAAGGCTGCCCTTAGTTACGAGGATCTTGAAAAGGTCCTATGGAACGAGAATTATGAAAGGGAAAAATTCAACACGATACATTTAACAGAATATCAGCTCACAAAGCTAAATAATTACATGGGAGGAGAAAACTATGAGGATAAGACTAAGACTCATAGGGTGAGATCTACCCTTGATGAGGCGAATAAGATCAATGCCAAGAATACATGGGATGATTGTGTGGATATGATGATGAAGTATATTATGCCCCCAGAAACAGCATTTGCTTTGGAGATGTATTACAACATGGCCGAAATTGGGTAAGAATTTTTGGGGAGAAAACCATGCCATATTTGGTTCAATTGTGGCATTGGTCAAATAAAGCTCTAAATGGAACCAGGGCAAAAAGTATTTTAGGACATTTTTTTAAAACTGATCAGTTTTTGTGAAAGATTAAAAAATCTTTGCAAGTCAATTCATTTTGGTGCTACTGTACTAAATGTTGACACCAAAATATTGAGAACAGTTATAACAAATATTGCCAGTGTTGCCATATTGTTCCATCCGTCAATCATTTTTCTGTCAGACTTTTTACGAATGTCCGCTTTCCCGATTAACATCAATAGAATCCCTGTCGCAACTTGCAAGACCAGGATGGTGATAAGAATTGATACCTCGGGGTAGAAAAATGGTCCAGGTTTCTCTTGGAGTGTTCTCCAAAGTCTGGATGCATTTGCGCTGAAGATCGCAATGTCAAATAGTCCAGTAGCAACTGTTTTCTTTGTGGTGTAGTCATTCATGTTGATATGATCGGGTGATTTACACTTTGAGGGGTCTGAGGTATCACATACATGGTCAACCTGGAATAAGAAATGAAAAAGAGAGTGCATGTTTGACATGTCTAAAATGAATGCTGATAGGAAAGGTAGATTTTTCCTTAACTGTTCAATTTTTCAATTCTGAATATGATGTTCATTGTACATGTATTGAAAAGCTGTTTAAGGTTACCAAATTTTCACAATTTAAGATCTCAACCGTGAGTTATTTTCTTACCTCATCAAAATTACCACCGTGACCATCAGTGTCATCTTTAGGCAGCCCAGTTCTTTCCTTTAAATCAAGATTACTGTTAGAGTCAGTATCATTAATGATGACATCTGTATCTTTGTTAATACTCATTTTGTTGAACTCGGTTACCTTTCTTATGAATATGATCCTATGATAGGTCTTGTGTGATTTTGGTCTATTTTATCTTGTATCTCAGCTTTCGGTTTACAAACTTTGTATTAATCAGGTATGCCAGCAAATGTCCTTTTATATTACATTTTTACACAGGATACGTCATGTTTTAGATAAGGAAACATGGTGTTGAGATATATGAATTGTATTTTGATTTAGTTTTTCAGATTATATGTCAATTTGTTTCTGTTTTGTTATCTGTTTCACTTGTGTGTTACTCGTATGGTTTGGCATTGAAAAAGTCAAACAGAACTGATCTGGAAATTACTTGATATTTTGTAGAATTACATCGTCAGTCACTTTTTCACAAAATATGACTTAATCTTTTTCAAAGTCTTTAATTAAGAAATATAGACCGAAGAGCAGGGCTACTATTTTCGAATACACCCCGCAGGGCTTGGCACAAATGTTTTCTGTACCCCGAATGACTGAAAAAATCGTCAATTTCGATGTTCATTTCCTCTTTTTTTCATTTCTACTCCTGGTTGAGCTTTTGCACTGAACGAAACACTTAGTGCCAGGGCATTGATCTCGAATATGCCCCGGGTGAAACATTGACTTTGTTCACAGTTTAGAGACGGCGTGAATACAGTCATGTTCGAATATTAAATATGACATAATATATGTGAGGCCATGTGAGAGGTGAACTGACAAAGAACAAATTGCGACATTAGCATCTCAAATAAAAATTTACCTTATATGAAGTACAGAAAATATTAATTGGAAAATTATAGCGTAATAATATAGTGATTAACAAATTATAAATCAGAAAATCTATTGAGATATTTCCTGAATATGACGTTGTTCCCCATCGTCACCTTAATCAACATTAATCAGTATCATAGTATAGGTATTACACCAACCCTTTGATAGAGCTGATCAACTTCCTACCTCTTTAAATTAGAGATAATTCTTTAATCTTATATATAATCTGAATATCCAATTAGAGACTCACAATTTTACATTTCTGTCTTAGCCAACATTCATCACAATATCAAACCTTTGAAAAGGATCATGAATAACTATTTTTGAGACTGCTAAAATCTTACTAGCAACAAATTACAAAATCCTCTGTCGTGGTCAGAGTGTATTATGGTTGGCTGATTCAGATTTAGGGTATTCTACCTGAACTTGGATCGTAATCAACCCAAGCTGTCTCCCTGACAAAAAATCACAATGCGTCAACTTTTCTTAATAAAATAACATAAACAGTACATTGGGGAATCAGGAATTGGTAAATAGAAAAGCTTGGCTATATTAACGAACACTTGAGTGCGAGGATTTGTATAAAAATGCAAAAAATATAAAATTGATATTTTCTGATGAGAGGTTCATAAATTGACTACGAGATATTTTGACAGGGTATTGCATTTTTCTAAGTGATTTGTGTAATATGGCACTATAAGTAGAAAATTCTGATTGATAATTATCATATTTATGTGGATTAAACCAATATCCTAGAGAGCCTGGAACGAAGAGATAACACATTGACTTACCACAGAGCCTGGTCTCTGATGGAAGAAATTAATTTGATGATCCTATTGTGTCCAATGCATTCAGTGTAATGATAATCCTTGATGGAGTTTCAGCCTTCAGAATTTTTGCATAATATAGGTTGAAACACAAGGAAATGTTCAAGTAGTGAGTGCAATGATCAAAGGAAAGGATTGATACATGTAGAAATACAAATGGATTGAAATGGAATAACTACATGAATTGTATATAAACATATTAAATTCTTAGATGAGGGAATTAAGACTGATGTGGACATCATTGAATAATTGCAGTTATGCATGAACTAAGTTATGATAAATTGGGAGCTTCGATTAGAAACTATTGTCTTTTTGAGAATGACAAATATAGTTTTGATCGTGAATGTACACAAATCATCTGACCATCTGAGACATTATATACAATGAGACTGTTTACATTCAGGTAAAGTTGACACATATCGCATTAAATAGAAAAATTGGATTCTATAAATGATGTATATGCTCCAAGTGTACATTGAGGAATGATAATAACAATGCGAAATCCCTAACCATTATATAGACAGACATGTGTACTTGTACAGTTCACTTGTTGTTAGAAATTGCATTTTTGGAGTTGGTCAGGTAAATAACAAAGGGTATAGCTGAAATATTGGTTGAGCAAACAGGGTAAAATGAATGGTGCTATTTGTCCCAGGTTTTGTATACCATTAGAAAATTGAAAGTGTCAGGAAAAGGGTATAAGAACATTACAGAAGTTGGCTCATTATAAAGTTGATAAAAGGCAATTTTTGTCATTTGGAAAAAAATGCTCAAATGAATTCTTTTCCCAAAGAATAGATATACAACGCTCGGTAACCATTGAAATATGCCACAAGTGAGTTGATTCCTGTTACGCTGAATGAACATAGGTGTATTAGAGGATAAACGAAAGATAAATTGATCATGGTGCTGAATGAACACATACAAGAATGATTCTATTTTCAGGAAACAAGACTCAAATGAGTTGATCAAGGCATTGCTGAATGAAGACTTATAAGAATGATTCTATTTTCAGGAAACAAGACTCAAATGAGTTGATCAAGGCATTGCTGAATGAAGACTTATAAGAATGATTCTATTTTCAGGAAACAAGACTCAAATGAGTTGATCAAGGCATTGCTGAATGAAGACTTATAAGAATGATTCTATTTTCAGGAAACAAGACTCAAATGAGTTGATCAAGGCATTGCTGAATGAAGACTTATAAGAATGATTCTATTTTCAGGAAACAAGACCTGAGAGAGCTGAAAATGCTACAGAAGCTTGAGAACAGACAGTACCAGGAGCTAGTCTACAAGGCTGCTTACATGAGGGAACAACAAGAGAAAAAGTTTGAAACAGAAATGCAGGTAAATAATGAAATCTCTCATTTGGAACATTGATATCTTTTAAATGCCAATGGTCCAAGGGGCACTTCTTATGACATTGACCTGGAATTTAATTAATAATGCTTTAGATTAGCCCTTTTATAGATCTCATTTTGAATTTTTATTATTATATCATCATATTCTCATAGTCTCCAACTTTTTTGTGGACGTTGTTCGGCGGTTGGTGTCTGTAACAAATTCTTACAACTTTCAATAACTGGTGGTGACATATTGTCCATGTTAATGCCTTGTTAATCTTTGTCTTAAGTATCTGCACTGCACTTCATATGAGTTTAAAAGAGTCAATATTAAAGATACACGTTTAGCATGCAAAAAATATCTTCAATCTCTCACTTTGATCACATCAAAATAGTGTATGTACATATACTTTATCATTGAGTTAATTAATAAGGAAATAAAAGCAACACTAGTACACTATGTTGACACAATGGTTTCCTTCCTGGCTATTGTAATCATACAACAGCATTGTGTAGAATAATTAGCCAGTTCCTCATTTACTTTTTAATCTCATAGGTAAACGAATCCTACAGGTATATTCATGTGGTTTCAAATATATGTTATCCTTGCTTAAGAGAGGGAATAGAAAACACAGGAAGAATTTTTGCTCCAGAGAAAGTTCATAAACACAGAAATAGCAAAAGAGAGAATTAAGAATGCAGAAATAATTCTTGCTTCAGAGAAAGTGCATAAAAACAGATATAGCAAAATAAAAAATGAAAATGCAGAAATGATTCTTGGACAAAAGAAAATGCATTTAAAATAAATACATTACTCATACTAAGACAGAGTGGCATATTTGAAAACTGAAAATATTAAGACAATACGATATTGAAGACACAACACAAACATGCAGTCATACGGAGAGTTGGTTAAAATATATTATAACATGCAGGGAAGTTGGAAGAAGAAAAGACAATGCCATTTGGATACATATGATTTTCAGAATATTCTCAACATAGAACAAGAAGTGAGAAAATAGATTATAAACTAAATATTTCTTTATCTGGGAACTGGTGTGAGATTGCATGAGAGATTATCTCGAAAGTGATGTGAGGTTTCGCACAATGGTTTTAGCCCAATATATGTAAAATCTGTAATGCATTCACCAGATTTATGTGTAGTACATGTACTTCGTAGTTCACTTCAAATGAGAAGCAGTTGCGAAACCTCTCTAATACATGTACCTGAGTATTTTTTGTGTCTGTAGATTCATATTAACACAAGAAAATGAAGTTATGATGATAAGATATAAAGTAATGTAAAAAATAATCTTATTTTCCTTCTTCCAGAACCTTCTGAAGAACTATGAGCAAGACATAGAGACCCTCAACAGGCAACAGAAGCAACAGGTTGAGAAGGCAGAAATAAACCAGGGACTTGACATCAAAAATGCATCAAAGAAAATAAAGATGGATCAGGTAGGAAAAAGATTTCAGGTTATGATCTTATATGGTATGACTGTAAGTGGTGACATTAAGGCAATTAAATCTTTAGATTCTATTCTATTTGACTTTTTTAAAAACTGTAATTGAGAAGACATGAATTTCTGGGAGTAATACTCTCAGATGAGTATTTACTTCAATCATGTTTTGCTATCAGATGTAAGACCTTCAATATTGATTTTTAAAAACATAAAATTAGTAGTCATATGTGTATTTTCTTGATTTTTATATTCAAAGCAGGCTAAATTTTGTAAAATAAGAACATTTAACATTTCCAGGAGAGAGATGCCAAGGCATTCAGAGAAAGTCTCAAACAAGAACTGAAATTATTAAAACATGAAATAGACATGTTACCGAAAGAAATACGTAGAGATACTATGAAACGTAAGCGAGATGAGAAAGATGCTGAGCATGCTGATAGAGAGAGGCAATTCTTGGAGAAACAAACAGACAGCATGGAGAAGTCAATGAAGAGACTTTCAGATCAACATAGGGAAAAGATAGCCATGTTGGAGAAACAGTTTCTACAACAAAAGCAACAGTTACTTAGAGGTATGTACTAGATCTGTATTTAGGTTAATTATGTTGGTGGTGACATATTGTTATGGTCTCCATTTTTTGTGACGGCAATTGGTGTCTTGCATTTAGCATCTGTAACAAATGGCAGGTGGTGACATTTTGCATCTTAATGCCTTGTTTAAACATAGGAACAAACTTGCCTATGCTGAGGCCTGATGTGAAAAAGTCGAACCCACAGCCTCTTCATTACATGTGTAGAGTGCTTGATATGCATAATTAAGGTGTTACTTGGGTACCATTTTATAGTACAATTTATTGGATGAAGATCATTCTGTGTGCTACAAACGGCACAAGCAATAGTTCTAGTTGAAATTAAAGTAATATAGACATCTTAATTTTTTCTTCCATTTTGAAATTCAAAACTTATGGTAGCATATATGCAGAGATAAAAGGTATCCTGACTGACCCATTCAAACTATGTCTCTTAGTCTATTATGTTGTTTACAATATAATTTAAGGACTAATAAATCCATTCTTTCAAAAATAGCTAAAAATATGACTCCATAGACTCATTGGTAGTTCTACTATGGTAAATACATGTATTATATGAGATGTTTATATTATCTTTAACAGCTAGGGAAGCTGCTATTTGGGAGCTTGAAGAACGTCAGCTCCATGAGAAACACCAGCTTGCCAAACGTCAGCTGAAAGATCTGTTCTTCCTTAAGAGACACCAGATGCTCACCAGGCATGAACGAGTAAGTTGAAAATTAATTTAAATCCAGATTTTCTATGGTCTGTGAGAAGCATCAGATCTGTGAACATTTCAGTGAAAATATCATTTTAGTGCATACCGTAGTTTATCATACATGTACATGTACTGTGATTTACAAAAAACTGGCCAAGCCATAGTGACAAATATCTACAGTGTTCTTTCCATGATCTTATATAAAGTTAACATCTTCAAGTGGGTACACTACCTATTTGCTCCATTTAAACAAAACAATGAGTTTGAAGGACTTGTTTTTGGAAGAATGCAAAATGTCCATTTCACATGGTGTTATTATACTCAAAGGTATAATGATTCCATACTTTGATGGGATCCTGAAATTAATGTGAAATTGAAGATTATTACAAATATTATAGCTAAACATTAAATTATATATTTTCATTTCACTCTCTTAGGAGTTGGAACAGGTGCGTCGAATCAACGGTCGCAAAGAGGAAGAAATGCAACGACGTCACACCCTAGAGAAGAAACGTCTTCCGAAAATTCTCCGGAATGAGGCTAAGACCAGGATGCAAATTTACCGCCAGAGTCTTAGAATCAGTTCTATGGGTGCACCTGATGCAGAGAAAGATAAGATTAGATCTGTGAGTATAATTGTTAGTAATTTCAGAGTTAGGACTGATATAACACAGTGTTAGTCCACTGGCTTATGATTAGGGCAGGTGTATAAAGCACTGTATATGTATATGACTGATTGTTGTTTAACATTGGATGCAATTGGAATTATACTTACAGAAGTAATTAATGTTTCATCATCAAAGAATAAAGTAAATAGCCATGTGGCTAGCTTCAAATTTTAGAAAGAAATGCATACTTGTTTTATCTTATGTTAAATGTTAAAAATTCAGAACTTAAATACATGCACATGTATGAAGTTTTCTTCATTGAAATTGTTGCATTTTAGTTTGAGGACTCTGAGAAGAAGAGGATGAAGGCTGAGCAGATACGCCAGGAGATGAAGCATAAGAAACAATGGGAGGAGGTCAGGGAGAGAGATGAGGGACTTATGAAAGAATTAGAGCAATTACAGGTGTGGTTTTGAATTAATTTGAGAAAATTATGTGTAAAGATAGTGCATTCTTATTTGGAAGTACAAACTTTGATTAAAGTATGTAAAAGCATATGAAATAACATAGTATTTTTTTTAATATACATGTGTTTGTATGTGCAGGCTGAGAAGCGTAAGATGCTAATGGAGCACGAAACGCAGAAAATTAAGGAATTAGAGGATCAGTACCAGACTGAACTAAAGGAGTGGAAAGGACAACTTAGGCCAAGGAAACAGGTACATTTATACGTATTATCAACTGCCCATGGTGTGATATAAGTTAGTTTGTTTTGGTCTGGATCAAATGAATGTTCAGCATTTATTAAAAAATAACGTACAACTGATCTAAATTTCAAGTTTACCAGCTTTCTTAATTCTTAATGACTTAGAAAATAAACACTATCAGGTTGCATAAACATTTATATTTTAAGAACTTAATTGAAATTTTTACTTTTTTCTTCCAGCAATTGGAGTCTGAATTTGTGCGTCAGCAACAAGAACAAGAAAAATTCTATGGCAATTTAAATAACACTGGTACAATGAACTCTCCTAAAGCTGCAGGTAATGGGACATTCAAAAAGAACGCCAGTTCCCGGGCGTCAACAGCAATATAGTTTAGTCTGCATACTAGCTCATTCTTTTGTACATAATGTGTATAAAGAATATTTGTACATGAATTTGTAAAGCTGAGGTTGTTATAGCCTCGAATTGTATTTATCACTTATACACAGTGGATATTGGTTGGAAAATGGAGACACTGACAAATTATTAGTTGATATATTGTATAGTACCACCATATTGAAGAGGACAGCATTGATATTTTTGGAGGCGATGCTGTTAGGAGAGCACTGTCGCTTAAAATGAGAACAAAACATGAAGAAAGCGTTGCACAAACACTGGTGCTTAAAAGAAGCGTTGAGAGGGGGTTTGTCACAATTCCACAATAATTTTTCTCATCCTTCAACATCATGCCTATTTTTTTAAAATCCATCAATTGGGACTTTATTTAGGATATCTGTCAAATTTATTTGGACATTTCTGCATATTAAAATCTAAAATAGCTTCTCATTTTGTTCAGATTCTCTTTGATTCAGTCTCAATTCTTTATTCAGAGACTTTGGCATGCTTTGAGAAGATTGCCTCTTCAATTTTACAATAACAGGAGAACACTGTTGCTGGAAGAACAAACAACATCATATTATGATATTCTGATGAATCTGAAAAATATTACTGTGAAATGTTATACAGGACCAATGTATAATATGGTATACAATAATGCATTTACTTTTCTTTAAGAGAATTGTATTCCTTATTTCTTTATTGAAGTTTTAATAGAAAGAAATGCCGCCTGTATTATACAGATACATTGAATATAATCCTTAGTGTTGTACATCATTAGGGTTATCTATATAATGAGGTATTTTACACTTTGTTAACAGCATGTCTCTAAATGTGCCTTATGTCAGATATATTTTGCTCACATGTGTACATCGCACAAAATTGCCAATTTTCTAAGAAACCTGCCACTTGAGTTGAATTCTTTGCCAACCAAGGGGTCTTTCAAAATAGGCTGACATTTATAATGTTTTTGGGGGTCTCTATGAATATTCAGTTTCGTGAATTGTGAACGACGGAATTAGATTTTTCACAATTTCGAAAATACATTGTGAAACAAACAAATGAATTTCCCTAAATGATTTCCTACTAGGCTACTTCTCAAATGCACTCATACTAGTGAGAAATGGGAAAATATGATACTTTGAGATCACACACTGTATACAAAAACATCATCTTAATATCGACCAACCATATCAATCAAGTTGTAATGTTGATAATATGAATATTAAAGTAAACCTTATACTATATCATCAATTATATCCATATCACATGTCATTCCCCAACCAATTATATGGCTGATGTACATGTGATCGTAAAGTCTCTTTACAATTAAAATACAAAGTCTGTGTAAAGTGTAGAGATTTTAGAGGCACCCTGTACATTAAAACCTGGGTATGTGGGCATATCTCATATATACATATACAGGGTGTTCATAAAGCCCCTTTACAATTACAAAACAAAGTCTGTGTACAGTGGAAAGAGACTCTATGGACACCCTGTATATTTAAGTACAAGATGGCCATGGGGTAATAACAAGAATGATACTATAATGTGTAGAATTTTACAGCTTAAAAGATATATTTGTTGTCAATAAAATATATGTTGGTTGTATGAATAGTTTGGGATAGCGACAGTACACTCATATACACAAATACATCTCCATTCATGCTCTTTCATGTAAATCAGAATTCTTAAAGATATTTGCTTTGGACTTTTGCATTGCCTACTAGACTCTGTATTTACTATCATGAATACTAGAAATATAAATGTATTATTCAAAATTCAAGATACCATTTTGGTGTCCAGTTGACCTCTGTAATCTGTTTTCACTTGGGTGTCTTTGAAGTTATTTCTGATGCATGTATTATCTGGTCTAAACTTTAAGGGTAATTGTTTTGATGACAATAAACACAGGAGCCCATCAACCAACAATAATATAATGGCTTATAATACTTATATGTATATTTTGGTTTATAGAGAATTTGGTTTGTTATCAGAGATAATTTGTCAATATAGTTACATAGAGGTAAGACAAAATGTGAAAAGATAGCTGGAGATTATCAAGCATGAAGGCATTATTTGAAATAAATAAGTGCAAGCTGACATTTTGTGCGGTCCGTTGTCTGCAAACAGGGGTCACATTTGCCGAAAATTGATTGTAAAATTACAGATCTGCAAGTCCATTTTTGTCACTGCTAAAGGAATTATATAGTTTTATCGCCTCATAGTTTTGTGACCGGCATCTCAAATCAGCATTTACAGCTGTGTGTAACAATTGTTTCTCTTTTGTAACCACTTGCAGGTGGTGTCAATTTGTCATGTTATTGCCTTGTTTTATAAATCTGATAAAGAACAATTAATTTTGTGGATCTGTAACTTTGTAATGTTTTGGAAAACTGACCCCTGATGCATAGGGAACATTTTTCATAATTGTAACAAAGATGTATCACTCAGTCCATTCTCCAAGCAGATTCAGACAGCACATATCTTCTTCCTCTCTGCAGAGTTTTAATTCTGTTATTCTGAGGGATCCTGGACTACAAAGGGAAATTCACTTGAAATCAAGAAATCACTTGCTTAACACACTTTTTGGCACTCATATTTCTTCACATGATTTTTAACTTTAATTTGACAATAGTGTACTAAAGTTATACCAATAAACCATTCAGTAATCCTTGGGGAGTTAATCTGCAGAGGCAAGAAAGTCACGGTTGTTTCACAATTGTATCGTGATAAATAGCACATTATCTATGCAATGCTTGACTTTTGCCTGATGGGACATCTAAATTATGTAGACCTGTATTATATGTGGTGTATAGTGCACATTATATGAAGCTGTGTCTGCAACGAAAATGATAAAGGTTCTGGTAGAGTTTTGTTTAATGGTGATTTTAGGGACTATACATGACATGAAGTTTTATTTTAGTTGTATAAGATTAAAGTTATTATTTTCTCTATAGTTGTAATTATTCAATATCTGTTGTGTGAATTACCATGGTAACTCGAGAGAATCACCATGGTAACTCATTCCTTCATTCAATCTATTTTTCTGTACAGTAGTTGAAGAACTGAATTGACTTTGCCCAAACTATTGGACGATATTTAATCTTGGCATATTTTGTTTAGGTCAGTTATATGACTACAATGTGTCTGTGAGCGAGTTCATAAGTTGAGTTCATGTTCATAAGTCTGTACCATCATTTCAGTACCTGACACTTGAAATTAAAAACCATATACTGTATGTATACGCACAGTCCTAAGTGTACAGTCAAATAGTAGGGAGGTTAATGCCTTGGTCACATTTGATCTACGGAAAACACATATGGCGGACATAGCTTCCCAAAATCTACAGAAATATGCATCGTAAAATATAGGGATAAGCATATAGATTTTCTATATTGATTTTGTGAAGATACAGTACTACCGCCGTAGAGCAAATGTGACTGAGGCTTTAGTTACATAATTTGAAGAGAACTTGCAATGATCTTGTAATATTAATATTATGACCCCATTATGGGACCCCAGGGATTACTGTTCTCCTCTTAATTGTTTTTTTTCCAAGGACCTAATTACAACAACATGTATTTTCTTTATACCAGTACCAAATTAAATATTACGAAGAGGAGAAATTATCTCCAAAGGACCATAATTCTACATGTTCACAAACAAGTTCTCTTAAAACAGTGTAGCAAATCTTCCTAAATTAGATCTTTATCTCTTGCACAACACTCCTCAGATCCCTCATTGTACCATTGGCATCTGATAGCATTGTACCATTGGCATCTGATAGCATTGTACCACTGGCATCTGATAGCATTGAACCATTGGCATCTGATATAATGCCCATGATTGTAGGAGCTTACAAGCGAGTTCTGCAAGGATGTGTATTGTAAAGCTTTAAACAATTGACATTTCTTTATGTCACCAACCATACACATTCATATCAACACTTGTAAATGTTCATTATGGATAAAAAGTATATGTATGTATTTTGCATAGAGCCACCAGTTATAATGGTGGGGCAAGACAATTTAACAATTAAGCTCAATGAAATGCATGTTATTCAAAAAATTAAGTTATGATTTAAAATGGTGTTTTAAAATATGTAGCTTACATATCTTGGAATTAACCTGGGGACTATTTGACGATTGATGTACATGAAAAGACAAAATACGATTAAATCTGGCATATCATTTATACATATGCAGTACATTATATCAATGAACGTTATATCATATGTGTTAAAAATGCTTATAGAGTTGTATTTAATGGAAGTGTAATACAATTTGTAATAATTATTATTATAACCAAGGAACGAATTGTTTTGTTGATTTTTTGGGGAGTTCCATACCAGTTCTATTCACACCATCAGTCCTGATTCTTATTTTTTGCATTTTTTGGATGTCTATCCTAATGCATGGTGCAATTTTGAATTTTAAAACATTAGGAAAGGGACTGCTTTTATAAAAATCTCCAAGTTCTTTCAAAATCTCATTCCACCATTGTGTAGTAGATTCCACATAGAGCAAAGCATTGACATGCAAAATGTCACCACCTGCCATTTGTTACACACACTGAATACCAGACGCCGACTGCAGTCACAAAAATGGAGGCCATAACAATATGTCACCACTTAAGATGGTGACAATAAAAAGTGAAAAATTGGTCATTTTGAACTACATGCATCTGGTATTGCTATTCACTGAAAAAACATTAAAAAGAATTTGAATTTGTCTATCCTAGATTTTTCACTAACTTGATCATCAGTTCTGATCAGGCGAACTAAGTTCTTTCCACTTGAACCACAGTTCTCACAATGCGAATATTGATTCTTTAGTCACGAACCACTAATTCCTCTCTCCGAACATATTTCTCCACTTGCGAATGGAGTTCCAACATCGTGAACTACAAAACTGTGTGGTTCGTAATGTGGGAACTCTTGAAGAATCAATATTCGCGTTGTGAGAACCATGGTTTGCGAGGTTGGAACTGATGATCACGTTAAAGGAATTCTAGAAGGCCTGTACAGGGTGTCCGGAAAGTAAAGATACAAATGCTCTCATTTTAAGAGATTTACATCTTATGAGATGAAATTGCTCCAGAATATAGAATGACATTATAGCAATATATCCTGAAACGGCCATGACTTTTAGTTTTAAAATGAAAAAGTTATGGTCCTTATGGTAACGGGAGTCGAGGGTATATGGAGCAACGTCACAAATGTGTTTCACAAATCTCTTTCCTGCTCATAGCATCTTGGCATTCTACCATCTATTCCTATATTACATCAAATTATGTACTACAACAGCATAAGGATTAGTACCGTAACATTATTTGATCTCTTCATTGAATATTCAATATTTTCCCCATTATCTAAACATTATTGGTGCTCGACCGCTGATTCAAAGACTTGACAAAATCACTGCTGTCCGTCTCTCAAATTGTGTATTGCATTGACTTTCAGCTGAGACTCATTTTGTATGTTCAACTTCCTACAAATATTGCTTTCAGATGGTCAATAGGTAGAAGTAAAAAAAGGCTCTATCAGATGAATATGGGGCATTGTATAGAAAGGTTTAATGTCAAGACAATCCATTGTAAGAATTGTTTTCTTCGCTTTGAGAAAGGGTGTATTATGGAGATGCAATATTGACTTTCCAACCAATCCAGAGGCTGTTTTTTCTAAACACTTGTATGATATTTCTTTGATTATACTGGTTAGTGACATAAAATAGTTCTGATATGTAACAATGACATCATTATATAAAAGAAAAAACTACAGCAGTAATAATACAAACAGCAAACAAAAATTAGCAAAACATTGAAAGAAAATACGACAATAAACACTGTTTCAGATGGCTGTATTTTAGCAATTTTTGATATTTTAGTGATGTTCTGGAACTGCTCCGCATACCCCTCACAGCCGTAACCATAACAACCATAACCTGAACACGTTAAGACTATATGTGATGAAAGTTGGTAGATATATTGTGATAATCTTCCTCTACAATCTGTAGCAGTTTCATTTCAAAAGACCCAAATCTCTTAAAATAAGAGCATTTGTATCTTTACTTTCCGGACACCCTGTATTATATCCACTTGAAGTAAGTTCAGGTGAAAAATCACCCAAAAAACTAACTACATGTACTCTCATCAGATAGATTAAAACATAACACATATTTTGTATATAAATTTTTATTGACTACGATCACATCTATATTGACTTATTAACAGTAACTTTATTAAGTAATCCATTGTTTCACACACAATGTTGCAACATTCACTCTTATTCAAGGATGTCAAAACATTCAATGTTTTAACATTACAACATTGCATTTATTGCAGAACTCAACCCAAACAGAAATAATTTATTCCTATCCTTAACAGAAAACACTATACTAGTAGAACAACACATTCAAACAACATGTTCAATCAAAATACATCATATTTTTGTATATTGCCGTGCTTATAATTTGCAACTGCTTCAATTTGGCAAATGTGAAAAAATAAAGGACTTTGGGCACATCGCCACTTTAATTCTTTAATTTTAGGTAAATTTTAAATCTTAAAATTGCCAAATATTTTGAAAATTGCAAAATTCTCAAATTCTGTAAATTAAATAGTAAGTTAAAATGACCACAGTAAAACCTGTATATCCAAACACCTCTCTAAATCTAAACAACTCCCAATTTGATATGAACTTTTTTTCGGTCACATTTTTGTAAATCTGCCATAGACTTCCATGTTAAAAGATCTTTGAAATGTGGAACATCTGTCAATCTAAATACTTTTGGCTGGTCCCAGTGGCATTCTGATTAAACAGGTTTTACTGGAGATCACAGATTTTCATCATAGGAATTTTTAATATTCCCATTCAATTGTTGTTATACAGTATGTTTACAACCAAGATCTGTTTCTCAAATGCATCTACTATTGATGTTACTAATATGATATCTTTAAGAAACAGACCCATGTTATGGGTGTTTGGGGTCTACATGGATTTACATTACAGTATGGGTCCTTACACTACACTATATAGACCCCCCATCAGTGTTACAACATTACCATTGTCGTATATTGCATCGGTTGAAAGCCCAGTACAGCTATATACCTCTATCTACATGGCAAAATTGGGAGAAAACAATTGAACTGGCTAAAGTGAACAGTCAGACATTCACAATTCCACGTTCATAATTCAAAATGTTTCACATGCCCCCAGCCTGTGGAATAACAAAGTCAAACTAAGACTGGATTCAAAGAGACATTAGTATATGCCAGTTTTACTGTACTATCAATCTTTAAATACAATATTATCAGAATAATTACATTAATTAACATGAATGTATATGATTATGATATACACCAGTCACATTGGGGGGGGGGGGGGTTAATCCGTCAACTAATTTAATCCTAAGTATAACAGAACTAGAAATCATGCTTTTATTTGAGATTTTCAAAAATTAATTTGAGATGCCATATTTCTCAATGAACATAAGAATGGGAAAAAATACCGAAAGTGTACTGGGCAACTGATAATCTATTAAGTCAACCATATCTTTTGGTATAACATAATGATAATGAATTTCCATCTGTGGACCAATTAGATAATTGAAATTTATATTCAGGCCTTTACAAATAAAGTGTCTGCCTATTGGGTTATCCTAAAACTTCCCACGGTATAAGGGCAAAAGAAAAACAACCGTTTATATTTTTTCAAATTATTCCTGCTAAACAGACATTTAACTTGTAGAGGCCTTATTCAAGGAATCAGATAATCTACCAAAAGCTCTATTAGTTACATTTACACATACATGAACGTGACAATATTCATTATTTATACAAGTATTATGTTTCTATGACTATATATAAGCCAATGACTTTCCAAAAACAATTGGGATGATAACTAAAACTCACACCATATGAAACTGTTGTAACACTCTCTCCTGAACTGAAAGTGAAATCTTGTTTTATTTAAGTATGATTTTCTCCTTTATTCATCCAGTCCTGGCTAATAGGTGATCGTTCATTGAAATAATCTTGTCTATCATAAATACTTTTGATGCAGTTCCTTGCAGATTTTGTGCATTGCAACAACAATGATAAATGCAAACATTACACTGACCAGATAATGACATACATAAATACTACATTCTGAGTGCAACATGAATTTTCTGTGAATTCATTGAACATTTGAACTTAAAACATCTCTCTCTTCTTATGCAAATTGCTGGTTTCCAATTTACTTGTTTTCTCTTTTTCACATTCAGCTATCCCAAATTGGAATTTTGTTTCTCTCATTCAGTCTACTTATACATTCTATAGTATTTATTAAAAGTCCCGTTCTGTGTATATTACCACAAAAACCGATAATTTACAACAAAATTGGCATTCGACTTCTGAAAATTAATACTTACACTACATCTTAATAACTCTCAAATCCATTTGCATCAATAGATAAATGTATACAAGAAGGACTTACATAACTGGCCATTTAATTTGATCCTCAATCTTCAATATACACCTCCTAGATACTATTGCTTAGCTGCTATCATTCATCTTATTGCAGATACATATTAAAAATCTTTTAACAAAAATCAACCCTGTTAATTATGACAAACACTGTACATATGATAAACCCATGATAATAACTTACATATACATGTATTACACATAGACTTATTTACAAAAATCAGCTATTATGCATACATAGTGCATACACATGTTAACATGTCTTGATCATTAAGTCTGATTTACAGTAAAACCTGTCTTAGTGAACATCTCTCTATTGAACACCTGTGTTTAGTGAACATCACTTGATGAAACATTTTACATGGCCTCTTGTATAAAATCAAATCTCTATAATGAATACTTACCTACATTGAACACCTTTTTCTGACTCCACAAGTGTTCACTATATAGAGGTTTTACTGTAGTGGTGTTTGAGATTTGTAAAAAGTGGAAATCGAGGGTCTAATTTTATATTAGTGTCAAAGGGTGGTTTATTATACAGAGTATACCACAGTGTGTTTCTTATGGATATGATACAATATTATAATACTATACACCAGAATAGTACATCTCCAGGCAAAAATGATAGATTTTAAAATTTTGAGTCATTATTTTTTAAGTATCCAATGATCTCCCCAGGATTTTTCTCAACTGGGTGACACATCCTGAATTTACCTTTTTTGGTAAAAATGTTTCGATATCTCACACTTTTGGCAGGGTGCAGATTTTTGACAAGATGAAACATAATTTTTTCAAATGTCCTTCATGTGAAAAGAACTGTGGGAAATTTGCAATTCTGTATTCCTGGATATATGCTTTAAGAGAACATCTCTAAAATACACTATACAGTAAAACCTGTATATCTGAACACCTGGCTAATCCGAACACCTTCCAATTTGAACACTTTTTTTCGGTCCCATTTTTTCCTCCCATTGACTCCCATGTTAAAAAAACCTTGAAATCTGAACACCTCCTAATTTGAACAGTGAACAACCAGATTTGAAAAAGTGACCTGTCTAATCTGAACATTTTTATCAGAAATCAAAGTCTGGACATTTCAATTAAAGCCACATATTGAGTCAATGTTATAGTTGTTATTTATCTTTACATATATACAAATGCAATCAAAGAACCAATTGTCCTAATTAACTTATTTAGTCTCAGTGACATCCCTAATTTGTGGAAAACAACAGGATGTTTTGGAAAGGTGTGAATACAGGAGTTAATTGGTTTATCCTATTAGAAAAGAACTGAATGTTTTATTTTTGGATTAAGAGAAAGGTGTGAATCAAGAAGATAATTGATTTATCATTATTGAAAAGTACCTGGATGTTTTTGATTTGGATTAAGAGAAAGGTGAGAGTCTGGGAGATAATTGGTTTATCCTTATTGTACATTAACTGGATGTTTTTGATTTGGATTATGAACAGATCTTAACTGTTTTATATCCCATGGGTCTGTTATGATAGCTAAGATTCAATCAGTAAATTTTTTATAATCACAAAGACAACACAGACGCCATTTGCAGACACGATTATATCACGAGAAGGAGAAAAAATCCAACTTCGTAATATTCGCATACATCTGACATCCTGAATGCCCTTGATATTTTGAAGGATTATACATCATCTCGAATGAACACTCATGAAAAGTTATTTTTACTTGAAGAGGATAACTACTCAAATATTGCTAATGCTAAAAGTGCCAAGAAACAAACAACAATGAAGGACTTTTTCAAGCAAAAGTAAAGCAGTGCTATATAACCATAATATGGGATAAGCCATTTGATAAGCATAAGATTTCGTACGAGACTATCATATACTTTTACAGTGTATTACAAAGTTTTTGCCAAAATGTAAGAGTTATTTTTACTAAAATGATGAAATTGTTCAAAATATAAATAAGACATAGCATATAGGCTATAGGCCTATTGTAGAATTAACTCATCAACAACATGTATTGTTTTCTGACTTAGTATTAAGTGTTCAATATAGTGCACTGAACGATGAAAATCCCTCCCCCCCCCCCGACCAACAAAATCCTCGAAGTTTGAACACCTGCCAATTTGAACGCTTTTGGCTGGTCCCATGGGTGTTCGGATTAGACAGGTTTTACTGTATTATAATGGTTATTATATATATACAGGATATACAATATATAATTGGCATTTCTATCACAATCTTACTGTGTCTAAAGAGTAATATTCAATAATATTGTACAAATTTTCCCCCAAAATAAAAATTTAATGACTTACAACTGAGCCCATTTTTGCGAGCAACATTTGAAACTAGTCCATACTAGTTCAGGGACATTCTGATTTTTGAGCCCCTTTTATAAATGTTTATAAAAGTTATCACAATAAAATAAACTTATTTCGTATTATATTAATTATAAATGATAATTTTCTATACTGCACACTTTGTTTCAACTATCCGCTGCTATTGGATTCTCAGGCGATATTATAACCTGTACAACAAATCCTTTCGGGATTTTTGCATCTTCGATTCTCATTTTGTCACTTAATAACCGTCCTGAGAAGAACCATCTTTGTCTGGATGAGTCTATGCCCTCTTGTTCCATAATCCGTTTCTTAACACGGAAAACTGTCTCTGTCGACCTTGTTATCAGTTTAATATCCTTTCCTGTAGAAAGACGGAATTTTAGTGGAATTTCCACCCCAGGAGATGTATTGTCCAAGTCTCCGAGGCTATCGGATTCTGATTTATCATCAATAAGGTTGGTGGGGGAACTAAGTACATATACTGGCAGCTGATATCTATTCCCTAACTCATCATAACAGTCCATAAGGTTGCCTGAAAAACAAATGATTTTATGGTAAGGTTTTAACAATAACAACTATGATAGTTATCAAAAAGATTGCAGTGCCAAACCTGCAAATTTTTTAAAGTAAATATTACTAAATAATCTATAAAGAATTACAAAGACATAGCAACATACTCCTCTGCCACCAAGAGTTCAAATATAGCATCATTCCACCAGACTATATGCTAATGTTGTCCAAGCATTTCACAATTCAAAAGTTGGTTTTATCACTTAATTGCAAAACATTTAAAAAACTTTGTAACTAAGGATTTTTGAGGTTTTATTAAATGCACAAAATCCTTTGTTATGAAGTTTTTTGTCAAAATTCTTCGTAGTGAAGCAATTTTACGCTGCTGTGTAATAGGTACCTATATAAAGTATTGGTGAACTACGTAAAGATGTCCTGAGTCTACTGACCCCAAAAGATTTTAATTTTTCTACATACCATTTGGCAATGCAATGTTCGCTCCATCTACTATAGCTTGAGCAAGCGTGTGGTCCCCAGTTTCCAGGGCATATGCAGCAGCTTTCAAAGCATCCCAGATCTCTTTTCGTCCTTCAAAGGCTGGAGATGTATCCCAAAATTCATCCCGTTTACTTCTCAATTGTCCTTCTGTGAGGGGAATATCACTTTTCCATTTTGGCTTTTCTGGCTTTAAAGGCTGATTTCTGCCTATTGATACTGGAACAGCAGATTTTAATTTATGTATAAAACATGGCAATAATGAGTATGAGAATAGAACAACATACTATTTATTGTTGTTTACAGGAAATCATTCCAAACCATTCCAAAAATTTTAACACCCAATACCAGTTTCTAAACTTGGTTGTTCATATTAAAACGTTTAAAATTCAATGTAAAATGTCAATGAAATCTAAAATCTAAACTCTTTCCATTCACAAACCTTTAAAAGGTAATATCAGATCTTGGATTCAACCTGGGAATTAATGCAAGTCCCCTGTAGGGCTCAGTCTGGTTGTGAAACTCATAACCAAAAAATGTTTTGGACAAGATAATCTGAATCGGAACAACTGAACTTAAACTTACGAGAGCCCATGAAAGTGAACTAATACATCAAGACCTGGTTAAACTGCTTCAGAATTCCTATTTTCAATGAAAAATATGACCACACTTACTTACCCGCAATATAATAGTCAGTAATTGATTCAATTGAGTACATGAATGACAATGTCCCGCCATTGTTGTTTACTTCCTGGTTTCCCAGAATCCCTTAGTTCAACAAGTTAAACCCAATATACATATTTCTTTGTTAATCTGAATTTTCCTAGAGCCCTTATTGGGTTTAACTTCCTTGCTATGCATTCATGAAAAGCAAATTCTCGATCAATTGAAATCAATTTTCCTCGATAATGTGCAACATATACTTGCCAATAATGTGAAAATATCTACCATCAAACGATTCCATGGGATGGTGTGTTCTTATTATTGAGGTATGTATGTTTGCTTGGATTTCATTATTCAAGGAGTAACATCACAGATACATGAATTAATTACAAGCGCTTGCCAAAATTGCGCTACCATTTAATTTTACGCGTAGTTGACAGAATATTCACAGAAGTTAAACGATAAGAAATAAGGCCCAGAGACAGGTTAACTTGTTGAATTAAGAATTCCTATGACCTTTATTGGGGTATCATAAAAATGAAAAATTTAACGCACAAAATAAGTGGTTATCAGCATTTTAGGTGATAAATTTATTGTTGTATCTTAAGTGTAAGAGGCGTAGAAAATTCTACCATGTTGTTATCGTACAGGCAAAAGATTGAGACAAGGACTATAGTCCTGGCACGGGATAACACTCTGTAAGATTTAACTTTTACATCCCCTGCTACATTTATTTCCCATATAATCATATGAGATAGATGTATTTGACAGTACTTGTTGATAATTCAAATGACACTGAATTCAAAATCAGAATTTAAATTCAAAACTGACAAGATTTCACCACAGAAATTGTAAAAAAATGAGGTTCAGCAGGATGAGGATGTAACCATTTTCTGTTTTTCAATTCAAATTAGTTACCTTGTGCTGCACCATCTGAACTGTCACGATGACCCCCAGAGTTATTCCTGTTGGACCCTATACAACCTCCCATCCTACAGGAGGCACAATATTACATGAAAACTACAAGTTTCAAAATATTTTCCTTGTTTTTGATCAGCAAGGAAGTGACGTCATTCTGTAAATTTAAAGAACTGAATATATGACACGCCAAATAAAATGGGTTCAAATTGTTAGTTATATCCTATTCTGAGCTAAAAAACCAGTTGTCCCAAACGGATAAACAACATGAATTAAATTTTCTGTATGATTTATAATTCTAAGATGATTTTACCCATAATAATCAATATTTAGTCTTTACTTTTAAAACCTATGAGAGGCGACTCATTAGACAAGATGTCAGCGCCCGAGTGGAAAAGTGCCGCTCAAGATTTCGTTCATGGAAATCAAGATAGCTCGTTGGGACCGATTGTTGAAGGTATTTAAACGTTCTTATATTAAACATACATATGTGTCTAATAATTATTTCTAGTTGCCCTTGTCACTAAACCTTTGTATTTTCTTTGGTTGATTTTACTATGAACTCAATATTTGTTCTTTAGGCTACACTCTGTTAAGCATGATAAAAGGAGAAGAAGTTTAGTTAGAAATAAAAGAGTTATCTCATGAATGGGACCCTTACATAGCTCCTAAAAGGTAGAAGACACTAAATGATGTAACACTACAGTTGGGGACAAAAATAAATGACAGGTCGATTTTCGATCACCATTTCCTAATTATGGTGGTCTGAAAGCCCATAATTTCCAATATTGTCTAGATATATATCCCTTAAAATTTGTATATTTTACATTTTGTATAATCTCATCCACTGATGTATGGCCTCTTGTAAATTCTCTTATTTTTAACATGGGAAATCCTCACTTCAGCAAATCCACCTGTCATTTATTTATGTCCCCAACTGTATAAGCTGAATTTTGTCCACATAGAGCATGTGCACAATACTAAAGACATGTAAAATTGAACTGTCAAAAGAACTGAAATATACTTACCAGCTCGGCTCTTCCGGAAGTTATGATACATTATGGTGTAACTACGGTAATTAATTTTAAAATATTGGAAAAATCACAAAATACAAGTTCTGAGGTATATATCGCCATTTTTAAGCGAATTAGCCCATACTATGACTATATATTCGCACCCCCATATACAGATATATATAAACTTCATCTTCACAATAAATTGAGCTTCTTTCAAATTTCCATTTTTTGAGATAAGTGCCATTTTCTTACAATTCAAGCCGTAAAAATAGTTGGAAAGTGCTTCCCAGTTGAGGTTAATGGCTTTTATACTTACATTAATGTATGGAGCACTTAAAATGTACTTAGAATCGTATAAATAGCTCTATTCTGTGAGATTTATTTTTGTTTTTATTTTTACATTTTTCTCACCTCATAATTGAAGAGCTCCGCTGTTGATTTACATTCAGTTACACGTATTTCCTTGAAAATTCGCCATGATTGGAACAAATGATGGTTGGTTTATGTTATATTCATTTAGTTTGTATTTGAATCTAGCTACTTAAACACAAAACATGTCTTCATATTATGCTAAAGAGCAAAGATCGCGAATTCTAGGTGAAGCCAATTATTTTGCACAAGTCATATCCTGATTGCATCATAGTTACTTTGTACTAGTCACATCCTGATTGCATCAGCCAATTCACGTGATTTACAGTTTGCACATGGTTTCAATATACATGTTGTACTACTTCCGGGTAGGGTAGTGTTTTTTATACATAAAAACGAAGCCATTTCGATCAGTTTTTATAATGCTTGGTAGAACTGAGAGGTTTTACAATGCATATTTAAATTAATACACATGAGTGTATTTGATGAACTCTCAAAAAATAAAACCCACAATAATATCTTTTTTATTCACAATTTCATGTCATTGTTTCTAACAAGTCGCCTCTTTCTCTCTTTTCTTTATTTTTGTCAACAGTCAAAATCGGAATTTAAAACTTGGTTTCTTTACAAGCTCTGCTTCTGTAAATACTAAATAACATGAAAAATGTTAAACCTTACATCCTACACTTATTTGATATGAAATAGGCGATCATTGATATCATTTTTGTGCTGTTAAGTGTGGATCTTTTAATTTTTTAGTCAAACTTGATCGCTGATCTCTGTCGATGTGACGTCACGCATTAAATATGCACGCATGGGCAGTACAATACATAAGGCAATATGGCGTCTTAGGCCTATACATGAGCCAGAATGGAGGTCTGCAAGTTGAAATGAATATGTTTGTTTATGCATCAATCGATCACACATATAATCCAGACAATCTTTCAAATCATATACTTAACATTGTAATGGATTTATTTATTTTGTGAGCTTACGTTCCCTTTAATTTTCATTGGTGAAGCAATGATTTTACCTAAAATGAGTCCCTGTCTTTGCATAGTGATATTTAAAAATCGAGAAGCAAAACCTATGTTGAATATACTGTGTATTGATGAAGTTTATATATAGCCTAGGGGAACTCAAAAATATTGTTATTATATCGGCAAATTCGCTCGAAAATGGTTGTACACCCTAGAAATTGAATGTTGTTGATTTTTTCAATATTTTAAAATTAATTACCGTAGTTACACCATAACGTATCATAACTTCCGGTAGAGGCGAGCTGGTGAGTAATTTCTATTATTTTGACAGTTCAATTTTACATGTCTTTAGTATTGTGCACATGCTCTATGTGGACAAAATTCAGCTTATAGTGTCACACCATTTAGTGTCTTCTACCTTTTAGGAGCCATGTAAGGGTCCCATTCATGAGATAACTCTTTTATTTCTAACTAAACTTCTTGCCTTTTATCATGCTTAACAGAGTTTAGTAGATCTACTTTAGTACTAACTGACAAACAAACAAACTGACATCAGACATGTCACTTTGTCTTTTAGCCAATTTAGGCTAGTTTACAGTTACAATATAATGCATTAGATCTACAATACAAATTTAGAATCTAGATCTAGAACTGTTGTGTAATTGGCTGATTTAAAAATACACAAGCAGCGACAATACTCGACTCAATTTTTTATGCATGTTCCCGGCGGGCCTATGCAGTTCACAGTCTATTTATTACCATCCATCAATGTACAATACTAGCTGAAACAAATCGAGATAATGCTACCTATCCATACACGGATAGTGTGAAGACAAGTTCTTCTAAAAGTTAATAATGCACACATATTTATTCTTCGACCACAGTGTGGCCTTATGCTTTAATCATGAAGCCCTGTGTGTTTTATTGCTTTTTATGCTATCCCTCAAGTACTGTTGCTATTAGTGGGATAGAGTTCAACCTCAACAGAGGTTTTAAAAAATGGAAGATCCAGTGATTTTAACTTGAGACGAAAGCATGCAATATCTCACAAAGGACAGTGTCCGTTTAAATTTTTATTGATGAAATATTTTCATTACGATTTTTAAAATAACATCTAAATTTATTTTTCTCCAGGATAAACTTTTTCACTGCATGTTAGTCCACTTGCCATGTCTTCTACCCAAGTCATTTGGCTAGACTCGAGTAAATATACACCAGGCTATGAAAGTAAAATTCCCATTCAATTTCTTCATGACTATTGCGCATGCCTTGTTGTTGAACTATTTGCATGACGAAATATTTGGAATCCAGATTTAGGTGAAATTGAAGGTTCATCAGTATTGAATGAATTTTGTCCACCATCTTTGATGATACTAACTCATTGTACTGTACTCATTGTACTGTTGACCAGTGACATAAGATTATTGTCTGCAAGTGTGACATTCAAAGTGTAGGTTGGGAAACTTCAAACAGCAGATAGTACATGTATATTGTATCTTAAATGCCCTTGATGTTTATGAATAGATACTGTGCAATTTCTGATCAGTTTTTATGTATTTTGCAGATGTCAAAGCAGGACACTTGAAGCTTGTGGAGCTAGTAGAAGGTCTGAGGTAGGCTAAAAAGTTTTTTTAAAATACATATGTAATGGTGATTTTAAACTTAGAGAATGACAATTAGTAACTAGTGTATATTCTTACAAATTTGAACCATTAGTGCCATTTCTACACTTTGTTTCGAGTATTTTCACATCATAAAATTATAATTAAAGAACCATGTTGGAGAAGTGCATGTAATTTATGGTAGTTTATTTTTGGTCTGGTATAAAACAATAACTTTTATGTTTTGTCTCTTGTGACACAATGACTTGTATGTTTTGTCTCTTGTGTAACACAATGACTTTTATGTTTTGTCTCTTGTGTAACATAATGACTTGTATGTTAAGGGACTACCTTACAAGTGGCGATGTGACTGTGAGATGTCGAGGTACCAGTCTCTTATCAGGCCTCATCAACAAGCTTTCTGCCCAACATCTCAACACACAAGAAGGTAAAGGCTCACTTTTTTCGGACCTAATTATGTCACCACCAGAAGTAGTGTTCAAATGGATCCAAAATTTTTATTGTCAACACATAAAGACATGTTATGACTTCTAACATAATTTTGGCAGTTTCATTTACCATGGCAATGAATCTATGTTACCATGGAAACAGATTATTTTTTGTGACTGTTTGGGGTGATTCTGTAACTATTGTTACATTTTTGTAACCATTTGCGATACGAACTCGGTGGTGATATTTTGTCATGTTAATGCCTAATGCCTAGTTGAGAAGTTTTTATTGTATTTCAACTTGTTAAAATTTGGAAGGAATTTTTAAGATATGAGATTCATTTTTATCACTTTTGAATACAGAGGATATTATTTTAAATGTACAGTATCTGAGATGGAAACATTTAGATGAAGATTGTGAATTTTTCAGTTGATGTATTGGTTGCATTCTTCAGTGATCGCTTGAAAGATCACCATTCTATAACGCCACAAGCGCTGCATGGACTTAAAGCTCTGGTAAGAACTTCATGTACATATGTGATTCCCTTGGATGTTGTTTTTTAGAATATTTTTAAGCACATGAAATGCAGTAAAATGTAAATTAAAAAGTTCTGTCAATATTCAGCCCTATTAGCCGTCAAATGAAAAGTTTATGTTATATATTTTACATATACACAATTATATATGTTTTTATTTTACATGAGATGATTTCCCATTTGATTGACATTTGAAAAGAAAGTTAAAGTAAGGTGAAAAGAGTGTAGGAACCTGTATCTCTTAATTTAATACATTGGAAATTGTTTATAAAAGATTTCTTAATTTCAGAGTGAATGTTCAGGGTTAACAGATGAAGGTGTCCAGGCAATATGTAACAGCATATTTAAAGAGGTCACTGTGCAGTCTTTGAGCCAGGCAGACAGGAGAACCATTTATAATATATTGCAATCATTTCTTATACAGAAACTTACAGGTAAAAGATTTTGATGATGTATGGTTATCTGTAATTTTTTATTTTTTTTGATGTGACGTGATGAGCAACCTCGTCCAGCCAGACTGCAGATCCCCATATATTAACCTTTCACATGTATATGCACTGGTACAAGTAACTATTTAACAACATTTTTCTCAGCTCATTCTTGTTTTGCCTTCAAGTTTAGAAAAAGTTCCCAACATTTTTTGGTATCATTCAATGTTGGGCCTTGCTGTTGTGGATCCCTTGCTTCAAAAATGTTATGTACTAGAAACAGTCTGATGATTTAATGTATATTTGATATAAAGAAATGCAATTGTTCCAAAACATCTCTGCTCATTTTGTCTTTATCTTGCAGCCCTGCAGAAATTTGGGAATAGCTTCGTCTACAGTTACATCCAAGTGATGGATGGCGAGAAAGATCCCAGGAATCTCTTAATTGCTTTCAGATCTGTTGTAGCCATCATACAACACTTCCAAATAGGTATGTCAAACAAATCATACTACAGTAAAAAAAACTGTCTAGTCCGAACACCTCTTGGACTGGCCAAAAGTGTTCAGATTAACATGTCTTCACATTTCAAGGTATTATAAACACGTAAGTCAATGGGAGATAACAAATTTGGAACAGAGAAAAAGAGTTCACATTGAGAGATGTTTGGATTAGAGATGTGTTCAGATATAAAGGTTTCATTGTTCTCCTGCTCCTCAGTTCCATCAGGATACATTGGTTTGAAATTTGATGAATGCCTAAAGAGATGTAACAAGAGTGTTCAGATTTTGCCTAATATTTGTTACCATGTCATCAAATTATAACATTTATAACATCGTGATAACTTGAGAAGTCATGGTTAGATTGATATTCATGAGAGAACAATGATCATCTAAAGTTATGTAATAGACATCCCTAATGATTCAAGGCAATATTGGTTACCATGGTAATGAATTAATGGACTTGCACAACATATTTTTACTCTGTTATACTGCGTGGAACCAATTGGTGACATTTTTTATGAAAATGTCTTGTTGTTTTTTAAAGGAATGTTTGCTGAAGAATTGTTTGAAGTGACATCTTGCTATTTCCCCATCGATTTTACACCAGTAAGTACAACATATTTGTTTCATGTTTTACACCACATACACGCACATTCAACGATTTTCTAATCATTTTAGTGTAGTTATGAAAACAGGCTTGTGCGCACTTGAAATCCATTTGCACCCACTGGAAAACCCATTTGCACCCACTGGAAAATAAGCAAACCTGTGAAACTTGGCATTTGAGTATAATCAATACAATAAAATGTAATGTTTGATCTAATTTTAGCCTCCAAATGATCCCTATGGCGTCACAAGAGAGGAACTGATCATATCTCTAAGGCATGTGTTAGCTGCAACGCCCTTATTTGGTCAATACTGTTTTCCACTAATCATGGAAAAAGCGGCTTCTGACATTACTGCAGCAAAGATCGACTCTTATGATACATTGGTTAGTACATTTAAGAGACCACGCCAAAGCAATATTGTTCAGTTAACAATAAGGTATACATTTAATGAAAGACCTATAGCAATATAAATGACCAGAACATATTTACATCACCACCAAAAAGTGGTGACATATTGTTATGGTCTCCGTTTTTTTTACGGCGGTTGCTGATCGGTGGTTGGCGATCGGCGTCTGTAACAAATTCTTACAACTTCCAATAACTTAACAAATACAGTTTCAACTGACTTCAATTTTTTTCAATATCATCTACCTGTTTCCAGAAGTTCAAATCTGACTTTATATGAGATATAAGATTTGACCTTTGCTTCAAATTGACCAATTTATTTTTTTAAAATCAAAAATTATCTACAAGTTCTAAGAAATTTAAATCTGACCAAGATTGAGCTCATAATATTGTGAGCAACAAGGTGGTGACATTTTGTCATGTTAATGCCTTGTTCTATTTTCTAATTTGGACTAAAATTAAGAAAGCTTGACAAATCCACATTTTTATTCATGTAAGTTAAGTTGACACACATTCAATAAGTAAAGGTCATCAGACTCAACAATTAAAAAGATAATCTGAAGCAATATGAATAATCAGATCATTTTTTTCAATTTTTAAAGACCAAGTATTTAAACTGGATGAAAATGTAGACTTTCCTTTGCAGGCTGTGTGTATTCCTGTCTATGGGATACAACTATTGAATGAATACAACATGGCATTATGGAATGCTATTAAGAATGAGGTATGGGTAATTTGACTGAGTTTCTCTTGGAGTTGAACAGATAATGAGATATATACATGTATATTTACTGAATACCATGATGGGATTCTTAGTGTCCATGTATTAGTGTACAAATAGTGACTGCCATTGAGGGAAATAGTGCAAAATATTTTCCTCAAGGGAATATCCTGTCCACTGACATGTTCCCGAGGCTGCAGGCCGAGGGAACAAGTCAGTGGACAGGATATTCCCGAGAGGAAAATTTTTACACTATTTCCCGAAAATGTGGCAGTTACTATTTGTTTTATTATATACCTGATAAGTACTCTGTAAACAAAAACAAAATGAGAAGTCTTTTCATTTCAATATCAAATGTTCACAGGTTCTTATTGGCATTTAAAGGCATTTTACCTTTCAACTCCTATAATCTCAGATTTGGGGGAAGATAAAATGTACTATTGACTGGTCACATGACCTAACTGGTGATTAGTACAATTCATCTTCCCTGAAAGCAGGGATTTAGGACTTTCCAGGGAATTAGTTCATCTATTCCATGTCATGTGACCATGAATAAGCCAATGAGCATCTAGAATACATTTGAGGTATATAATAATAGAATATGTTTTGAAGATAGTAATACATTAGTTGTCATGTGCATGTTTCACTCAAAATTTCTTTCTGGACAAGCTTGTTTAAAATATGTATTAGAAAACTAGCTTCAGATTAGGCATTAACAATAGCATTAACATGTAGAATGTCTTATAGTATATGATGAGTTTTTGCGATGAACAAGTGTATTAAAACAAACTTTGCATATAGAAACCAAAAATCAAAATATAGTAATTCAATGGGAGTAAATCAATCCAAAGACACTGACATGCTCCTTCATATTTACTAAAGTTCTGGCATCTCTACCACCTGGTTATTTAATCATAAAAAGTGATAGAATGTTCTGTTCAGTGGTACATGTGATAATATATACATATTCATTATTTCAGGTGCTAAGTGCATCAAATACCCAAGTAGAACAGGCAACACTTGGAGCATTGAATGCTGCTGTGAAGACTTACAGTGACTCAAACAAACAGGTAAATATGAGATACAACCAGGGAGTGCCATTTGCATTGGTCTGCAAGACAGATACTATACGAGTTATGTCACCACCACAAGTGTTGACATATGGTGGTGACATAATGTCATAATCTCCAACTTTTTTTGGATGGTGTTCAGTGGTTGGTGTTTGGCATTCAGTGGTTTAGTGTTTGTCACACGGCAGTGCTGCCGTTAGTATCTGTAACAAATGGCAGGTGGTGACATTTTGCATATAAATACCTTGTGAATTTTACAACAGACCAGTATTTCATCATGTATGACTGTATATGAAGTTGTCTTCATTAAGGTGAATTTCATTGAAAAACATACACAGGCTATTAAATCTAAGCAAGATTTAACACAATGCAGGGGTTTCACTAGAATTTTTCACAACTGGCTAAATAAATGAAAACAACAGGCAAAATTAATTGAAACCATGAATTTAACATGGAAAAGTTTAAAAGTCCCTAAAAACAACAGGCGGTTTTTGTGAAAACAACCGCTGAAAATCGCCTGTTGCCTGCTGCTAATGAAACCCCTGCAATTATCTTATTAACCTGAGTTAAGCTTATGATCACTACTTTATTATTCACTATAGTGATTTGTTAAAATTTTGTGTTCAACTTATGTATGCAAAACCCTCTATATTTACTACAAACTATATTGAATTTATTTACAGAGTTCCAGTATGGATGGATTTGGAAAGGATTTCTTGGACAGTGTTTGCAAAGGTATGCCTGGTTATAATTCTCTAATGAATTTAAGATACAGGTGTATGACCAATAAAGTTGTGATATTTGATCAATGAGGTATACGATTATTGAGGCAAGTTCATAAAATCAATGAGGCCAGTCTATATGATCATTGATCAATGAGGCCAGCCATGTATATGACCAATAAGGCCGTGATATTTGATCATTGAGGTGTGTATATTAAGCAGGTTTTATGTTCAATGAGACCAATTAATGTGATCAAGGAGACAATTGTATGAAACACATGAGACAGGTATGTTCAATAATCCCTTTCAATATTAGAAAATTTATTGTGCTTCAGACTGTCACAAGGGTATCTGCAATGCTGACCTGAAGGTGCTCTACCCTAATAGCAAGCTGATAGAGTCATGTCTTGCCACACCACAGTCCTGTCAGTATATGTTGAACAAGACAATCCCTGTCATTCTGGAGCAGTTTCATACCAATACACAGGTAACGATGATTTAAATGGGGGTTACATGTATGGATGAGTTGCTTTCTACCTGTTTGTTTTAACAGTTTGAGAGTAAAAATAGCAAAATGATGTGATAAAAATCTCCAAAGCTCTCCAATTGATAAACAGTTATTTCGTCAATTTTTTTCCCCACTGAACATTGTACAAATGGTTAATTTTTTTTTGTTTAGTGAGGCTGTAAATGGCTGAAATAAGGCTGAAAAATGTGGACCCTTCTTTTAGTAGGAAACATATAAAATAGCAATATAAACTCAAGATAGTCTTATTTGAAAAGCTTTGAAGATGAAACCTTATTCCTTGCCACATTTTACCTGAGAACAACAAATATCCTTTTGTTCTTTCAGCCCAACAGAAGGCGTAACATTTTAGACATACTTCTTCGATTAATTCGTAGAGCCCAAACTTTCCATGATAGCACAAACAATCCTATTGGTCAACACAAAGACCCCTTAGTGACACTATTCATCTCCATTTTGAATGACAATAATTCCCAGTTGCGTAACTTGGGGGTATGTGGTCTCGCTGGAATGGCCGCGTGTGAAGGCCTTTTGAATGCATCGGAGGTGGAAATGATATCAGAGCACATGTTGCAACTTTTACTCAATGACCACGAGGCTAGTGTTAGGTGAGTCAATTTTTATCACATTTTGAAAAAGTATATTGTCATCTTATGCTGTTGGATGTGTGTCTATGCATGCGGGTGGGTGCCACATGAATATTGTCATCAAATTTCCAGGAAAACCACTTAATATCCATTCAATTTGAAAGTTTTTACATGCAAGAGCAGACTATAGCAAAGATCAGATTAGGTTTTTGGCATGCTTGGTAAATATACACTTGCTATTTTGCTCATCTGAAAGTGTGATACTTATCACTATGTAAGTATCTTGTTCAATTATTCACCTTGTACTTTTCAAAAACTGTCAAAAATATTTGGGTGAAAAATACTGAAACAGTAAAAGAAATGTGACTGTCTTACTTAGTCTTGTGTTTATCATAAAATGCAAGACTTACATGTAGTATGTTACACTCATATACTGTCCAAGAACCTGGACCAATATTTTGTCATAATATACATGTATTAAAAAAATTTGTATGTCGTAAGTCTGAGCACCCTTGTTGACACAAATAAAAGCCCTTGGATGTTAATTTGAAGTTACCTTTTAAGTATTAGCAACACCCATGGATGATATAATAAATAGGCATCATTACTGATGTTTGAAATGAATCTCAGTGGTATCAAGAGTACCCTATTTATAGTACATTTATAGTACTATAAATAGGTATTTATGGTATATATGTACATGTTTTCTGTTGTTGTACCAATGTTACATGAAAGACACAAATATACAACATTTATGATCTATTTTAAATATATTTTATTTGTATATAATAAAGGTATACAATACATATCTCGATATTTCCACTACTTGAGTAGCCATTTTGAACATTCCAAAGCTCAAATAGAAGATATAAGGAAGCCTCTTGCAGATGGCCTAATAAATTAATAATGATATTGACAAAATTGCAATGGGTCTCCTAATATTGACAAAATTAGTATAGATAGTTGTATTTATTATAAGGTAGCAATGGTCTTGAGTTTACTTATTTATCAGACCAACAACTTGATTAGTGCTCTCCCACATTGAAATCACAAAGGCCCAGCACCCCAGTCCTGGGGGTTTCACTCCAATATACCTCTTAATAACTATACTGCGGCAAGGAGCCCATTTTTGAGCATTTTTTCCATGTCTCTTTACTCTCAAAATTGAAAATTTGAATGTTTTATTCCTCTCAGACAATATAGAATACCACTTTTCCAGTGATTTGTCCCAGGCCGTGGCAACTGATTTAACCAATTAATAACCATTTTTTGTATAAAAACTGAACATTGACCTAAAAAGGTACTTTTTAAGATGATTTCTCCATGTTTTTTCTTCTCAGTTTAACCAGTTTCCATGGTTTATGCCCAAAGCCAAAATTGGCTGTGCTTCACATACCTACCCAAATTATTTAGAGTGAAGCCCTGCGACCCCAGTATTTTTCATATCACTAAAACGCTTTTCGTTTCAATTGGATGTGCCTCCTAAAATGTTACAATCAAAAATAAGAAATCCTGAATGGTGGTATTAAAATAAAAAAAATGTTGCACAAAATATTACAAAAACCTAAAATGTTGCACTCTAAAAATCAAAAAAATCCTTTGAAGAACACTTGATATTATACCTATTTTAACTATAGATACTTTAAATGCGTGTAAGTAAGACAGATATTCTGTTCAACAGTAGCCTATAATGCAGGCCTGTCAACTGTCCCGCAATTTGCGTATTTGTCACGCATTTGCTGAAGAATTTGAAGTCACGCCAGTTTTTTTTGCGTGACAGAAAATGTCACGCAAAATACGCATTTTACCTGGTAATTGTCAAGCAAAAATATTTCTGTAGAAATTTTTTCGAAATATGTTTACGATACGGTAAAAATAAGAACGCCGGAAAAAACCGAACGCAATTTGTTCGGATTTGTCACGCGTATCCCGTATGTGTCACGCATGTTCATCGAAAAGTTTTCGTACCTTCCCCCCCCCCCCCCCCCCCCCCCCCCCCCCCCCCCCCGTTGACGATATCGCGAGCATAGCGAGCGCGAAAATTTGAGGTGTTCAAAGTTTGGCAAAGGTGCTCAAACTTTGGCCAAAGGTGTTTAAAAGTTGGCCAAAGGTGTTCAAAATTTGGACAAAAGTGTTCAGATTTGGACTTAGGTGTCCAACATTTTGAAGTCACTCATATTAGGTGGTCCCAAGTTGACAGCCCTGTATAATGCAGTACTCAGTTGTACCCTTTATCCCAAACAGCTAGCACACTACCCTCTAACTACCCCAGTTTACAGTTGTGATAAGATCTACACTATTGCAAAAGCGGGATTTCCCAGCCTTGTACGAAATGTAAAAGATGTAATGCAGGGATTTACAAACACCATATTCTGATTGGATATAGACTAGATTATAAAAAAACATATCTCCAATATAAAGAGTTTCAATGCAGTCTGGCAATTGTAAAGGATTATTATGCAGTTCACGCTAGATCCAACTTGTATGATTTTAATTCCATGGGACTTACTGGCAAATCATCACTGATATTGATCAGCTTTACTCTGTGCATGAAAGACAATGACGATTCTTCTGTCTGACTAACTTTGCTTGAAATATTGAATATTTTGTCAATATTGTATGTTTTAGAATATTTGCACATTGTGATATTTAAATGAGCGTCATAGACTATTGAATGAATTGTTAATCCTATACTATTGAGCCTTGGCAGTTTTGATGTTTTATCAAAAAGTCCTCTGAATAGTGCTATTTTAATATTGCATGGCAGTTCTTCAGATATGAGTGCTAGGTTTTCATACATGCTATTTTTATTCCCTCCGTACATCTGAACTAAGGGGTTGTTGATAAGATTCTGAAGCAAATGTCCGAGAGCACTAGGCATGGACACTGTCGCCACATCAGCAGGTTTTCTCCGTTTTTCAACAAAAAGCATGAATCTGCTTGATGTGACTTTATTGTCATCGATAGCTTCGCTCATACCTTTGTTGTCATTAAACATTGTCATTCTATCCAGTCCTATCTGAACTTCCCCTGGATTCAAATTGGAAACCCCTAAAGGTTGAGCAGACGTAACTGTAAGCCTCGTTTTGGTCGACTCTAGATAGAACATAGATGTCATTGGATAGAAATTACCATTGACTGGAATATCTGGGTTTGTTTTCCTTGGTCTCATTTGAAATCCATTCGCATCGGAATAAAATATTCGATTTTTGTTTATAATATTTGTTTTAATTTCCATCATAACTTCAATGTTTTTTCTGAATGGTACCGGAAAGTTTTTGATATCGATGACATTGTTAATTGAGATTGCCTTTTGAATGTGTACCCCTGTGTGGTGTATAATGAACACTCTAGTGAGCCCTGCATAAAGTGTATGGACTTCTGAAACTATATGACCATGAATGATCCTCACAGTGGCATTTTGAATTGTGAACGCTTGCTTGGGATCCCATGCTTCTTCCCTGGGCTTGAACACATAAGCCCCACCAAGACCACTATGGTATGAAGTAAATGAGGCCTGTATTTTGTAGATATCTTCCCCCTGTTGCACACTCACCAGATCTCCTGTATCAAATGAAAATGTAGCCTTCAAATAGGAGTTCGAGATTTGAATGTCAGTATTTCCCTGATTTTGAATCTTGAAATAATCGTTTGATGAATAATTTTTTGAACCATGAATGAGTACTTCTGAGCATTTGGCTGTTTCTTCATGGTGCTTTATTCTATATGTAGAGCTTCCAAATGCTGTTACTGTTACCTCAATCACGAGTTCATACCTATCTTCAAACATACCATCCATGTCTTGCCAAATAGGGTTCACTTGTACATTCATCTCAGTACCACTGGTATTGAATATCTTCACATGAGGATCATTGATATAGAATCTCGCAACTGTAGTTATGTGATGTTCGACTGGATTGATCACAATAATTTGTTGCTCCTTTGTAACATCAATAAGTATCTTAGATGGTTGCATATCAGTTAAATCCCTTACATCATCAATGTAAAGATTATTATCCTCATTTTGGTCTATGTCGATTGTGTCTTCACCAGATGTCATTGTTGCTTCTTGGAGAATGTTAAAGGCAGTTTTAATCACTTTATAGCAAGCCTGAAGACCAGTCATCATTCTTCTTTCATAATCTATTGCCACATGCTTTTTCTCAGTGCCTGTTATTGCGTCATGATGTTGATACACACCCAGTTCACGATGTGCTTCAGTTAGGTTAAGGAGATTTTCCATTATTATATCATTATATGGAGACAACGCTTCTTGATGGATTTTCAGGGCAGCGAATGTGTTTAGAATTTCTGAAACCCTCAACATCCATTGAAGTTCACGTCCAAGATATTTATCAAAAGGTCTTGTTGTAAAATAACCCGTCCAATAGTCCTTGGAAGTGTATGCTTTTGTCATCATGTACGGATAGAAGTCTCCGATTAGAGACGGTATTTTCATGTAATTTGTGTCATTTTGAACCATTTTGAAATAATCACCCAATGTACCAAATTTTATATTAATGTTCATTGTTCTGTTGTGGTTCATATATCGCATCAGTTGTCTTACATTCTCCAACATATATGTGTGTGAACGTATCGTACTATATTTAAAATCATGCCCCATTAGATTAAAAATGGTGTTTGTATGGAATAAATCTGCCTTTGATAGATACTGTCTGTAAAGTATATCTGCCTGTGTCGCTACATTATCCTTTGTTATTCTTTCTCCATCATGCCCTGTAAAATCAAACTGAGAACATTTCATAGAATTTGTTCCACATGAGTCCCTTGTTATATAGGTTTCACCTGCTAGCATGTGACAGAATATATCATTTTGTCGTGAGTGATCCCACGCCTGTCTCCAGTGAAACTCCAGACTCTGATTTAGGGCCAAGTGACGTTTCACAGCGGCATGTACTCTGCCTATGCCCATTGCTTTAAAACCTGCTGATTTGAGAAAATAAGGAAATGATGAAGAGTGTCCAAATGGGTCTATAGACCAAGTATAGTTAGGTTTTATTCCTAGGGTGTGTTCCAACCATTGATGTCCTTCAACCATTTGGTCTATGATTGAGTAAAAATGCGTACTTGCCTCATCAGGCATCACCCAACTTCCCATCACAATCTCAAATCTCCCCTGCCTCAGCAACTCTTGGAATTTCATCTTTATAACACCATCAACATCACTTATGGTTAGGTTGTCCCACCATTTGGCCAAGAAGACTGTCTCAGCCCACATAAACTTCAACTCAGGATTTTCTGTTAAGGCTAACACAGTGTTTGTTAGGATACCATGTACAAGGTATTTGTAGTACTCATCAATTGTCTGGAGCCAACCCGGATCGACATGAGAGTGAGGTATGATCACAACATTGATGGGAGCTCTACGTCTTGGAACCTCTCTTGTTGTATTTGGAAACATCTTGAATTCATATTTGTAATTAACATCAACATAATCCAGGACATCTTGAGAAAATATATCAGCTCGTGCTTTGAGAATTGTAGGGAGTTTTTTATGTTCTTTCTGAAATTGTTCTAAAGTTTGGTATATGTTAGCTCTCGTGGTTGTTTGTATCTCTTGAAGCAAAACATTTTGGGTGAGTTCATTTTGCGGACTTTTGCGAAAGCTTAAACTCTTATCCTGAGTTATTGTTTTGTCTTGAATGGATTGTGTTTTTGAATGTTTATTTGCAATCAAATATACAATTATGAAGAAAAATGCTGCAGTAGCTAGCAGCAATCGCATTGGCAACTTCATCCTTTTACATTGGTTTACAAATATTAAGATAAAGAAATTGAGCACGCTATTTTTGGGACTTCTCCTGAATATCCTCTTAACGACAGTTTATACTAATCTTCAGCATTAATCCTTGTGTTTCAAAGCTACTTGGTTACGAACATGATGTATGTTGTATTATATAAATAATTCAGTGTAAGCACAAAGGCAATGTTGTATTCATTGCTTTGTAAGGTTTACTCGTTTTCTCATGATACATTGTTTAGTCCTCAATATGGAAAACAAATGTCATGAATGTTCTGGTATCTTCAATAAGATCTTATTCCTCCATTAGATCATTTAAAAGATAAAGATCATTAAAGGTCACGTTATATTGACAATAAGCAATTGTTCAGTTGTCTATATTGTATTGTCAGTGTGCTATATTGACCTTTAGGCTATGTCTTTCAAATGCCATCAATTTTCCTCGAAACACATGATGTCGGTTTACCTGTTTAAAGGTAATAGTAACTTTAGCAAAATATCAGAGAATATTAAACTTAAAGCTCAATTATCGCAATATCATTGAAAAGAAAATGCCAGATATGTAGATCAAATTCTCCTTTGTAAACGGGAATGCTACTACGTTACAATGTCAATTTTTTTGAAATATAGGATATTAGCCTATTAGGTGCATTCTTTTCAAGTAATTAATTGTAGAAACTGCATTCAATTATCTTTATCCTTTTAATCTCTAAATAATCCTTAAATAATCCTGAAATAATCTTTTCCATCCTGCCAATTCACAGTTTTTATGAAATTAAATATTACACCACAAGTAGGATATTGTCACCATGAATGCAGGGTGAACATGATATGTATTGTTTCTGTCATTATATTGTTTGTGTGCTGGCATCGCACATTTTGTCTATTAATTTCAGGAAAATTGTCCATCAGATTGTATAGTTACTTATTGGTATAATGATTCCAAAAATAACACTCTTATTCATTTCAAATTTGTACTAATGTTAGAAGGTAAAATATTCTGATCTGATTATTCTTGGCAGCCATCTTGAATTGTGTCCGCCATTTTCAGTATTGATATTTCTTTTCATTGGTACGCCAGCAAAAGTGCTCATTAGATTTGCTTCAGTTTCATACAGATAATAGATGATACCAAGTTTTAATGCTAATTTATTTTTGGGTACCTATAATAAGTTATGATGACCATTTTGAATTTTTTCTCCTTTTTCAAGATGATGTTTCCTTCATTAAAACAGTGTGTCTTGTTTAATTTTCCATATCATTACTTAACTGATGCCAATCAGATGGTGCAATATTTTTCACACTGTGCTTTGATTAATCCTGATAATGTTTATTTACGTGTCTCTTATTTGACCACTTTGAGGTATTCGTATTAGTTAGTGCAAACTCAGGATTAAATCCTATGCTTAGGGTTGATGCATTTGTAAATAGAATAATGTGATTAATCTCCGGAATGTACTGTCGTTTGTTTATTTTAAGCTCTGTGGTCAGTCCTCAATCCAGTACTTTGAGTGCACTATGAGTGATATGTACTGTTAGTTTATTTTGAACTTTGGTATTTCATGACAGTCATGTGTAGTTGAATATAAATGCTCATGCTATGATGTGCAGACCAGCAGACACGAATATAGATAACTAATTACAAATCAAAGCTATTAATTAGAAATGTCATTGTTTCCTCCATTTTCCAAATACTAGATCAAACGTCTGTTCCAATCAATAAACAGTAGTCAAATATTTTTATTTACTATTTTGTAATTTTAAAGAGAATATGAAATCAAGATAGCAGTAGAATATATAAAAATACATACATTCATTATGTTCATTTTGAAACCTCAATAGTACTTAAATGGACATTATTATTTGTTTCTGAGGGCATTTAATGCTTATAAGTGTCACATCTATTTAGAATAGACATGTTTGATGTGCATTACAATAACTATATTAAATAGAACTTTGTAGTTCATTTTGAGCTCTTGTATCAAACCAAAATTTTTAATTCAAGAAATGTTAAAACAACAAAGCTGCAAAATGAAACCATCTACGAATAAATCAGTTGCTAATAGCCATAAAAACAGATACCTTTAAACCATATACTGTAAGTTGCTTTAATTTGGCACTATTTAATTTGGTGGATTTGGCAAATTTTTTAAATTTTGGCTGCTATTTAATTTGGCAGATTTACCCATCAGTAAAATACGGATATTGGAGGGTTCGTACAAAGATGCACGTAATGTTTTTCAAAAATAGATCTCTATAACAAGGTACCTCGTTTGCCGTACTTAAGATCATCCTCAATGCCCCTCACCTCAGAGCTCATCACCGAAATTGCTATTTTATCTCGCTTTTCATCAGAAGTTTTTGTCTGAACCAGCAGTGGATCTGTAGATCTTCGAAAATAGTTCAGTAGTGACATTTTAGTTTTTTCCAATTTTTTTATACTGCAAGGTCACACAGACTCACACAAGGACAATTCACTGGACGAAAAATCTTTGCCTTGGAACCCCTTGATTTATTGAAAAATTGTCCAATACTTAATTTGGAGGTTGTCATCAATCTGCCAAATTAAAACGGCCATCAAATTAAACCAATTTTCAAATTAAACATTATTTTTAAATGTTTTTATCTTGTGACCTTATTGTTTTAGACAGGAAAGTACAGCTGCCATTGCCTATATAGCCAGCAAGTACCCTGGTTTAATACAAACTGTATTGTATTTGTGATGTCTTGACCTTATTGTTTCAGACATGAAAGTACAGCTGCCATTGCCTATATAGCCAGCAAGTACCCTGCTTTAATACAAACTGTATTGTATTTGTAATGTCTTGACCCTATTGTTTCAGACAGGAAAGTACAGCTGCCATTGCATATATAGCCAGCAAGTACCCTGCTTTAATACAAACTGTATTGTATTTGTAATGTCTTGACCCTATTGTTTCAGACAGGAAAGTACAGCTGCCATTGCCTATATAGCCAGCAAGTACCCTGCTTTAATACAAACTGTATTGTATTTGTAATGTCTTGACCTTATTGTTTCAGACAGGAAAGTACAGCTGCCATTGCATATATAGCCAGCAAGTACCCTGCTATGATACAAACTGTATTGTATTTGTAATGTCTTGACCTTATTGTTTCAGACAGGAAAGTACAGCTGCCATTGCATATATAGCCAGCAAGTACCCTGCTATGATTCAAGAGAAGGTTCTTCCAGCTCTCAATGAGAGACTGACACAAGGTAAGGTAACAATGACTGTATGTAAGAGTAGGGTAAATAGGTAGTGTTTAGCATGTACTCTCTCTTATTCATTTCAAGCTGTATGAAAATTCCAGTTCATGGGGCAGTTGTGGAAAATAATGTCCATCATAAAATGTTTTCTTTAATTAGATTTTGTATCTTGAATTTAGCACTGCATTTTTATTATTTTATGGTTGCTTTGCAGAAATATCAGCTCACTGTTGGTTAATACAATTTTTAATTGCTGTGCTATTGTGAAAGAATTGGTTGACATTTAGAGAAAATATTTTAAGATAAGAACTTTATGAAAACCTTTATCGTATAAATCTTCATTCCCCTTTCCAACTATGAAACACATTCTAATATTAAATATTGATTTGGATCACTCTGGCCTTCTCTATCATAACCAAGAAGCGGTAGTATTTATTAAAGTTGCAATTTTTTGTTACCGGCATCAATGTCCAAATGTATGTAACTTTATTCTACTTTCATAATTGCAACTTAGCGCTAACTGCCCCAGTAGGTGGTGTTATTTTAAAATTATAATGTGTGCTCTCAACTGTGCATCTCTATGGGATAGTATGGGTAAATGTCAATGTATTTGTCACTTCGGAGTTTTTGTTGTTTTAAAATCTTTGAATTAATTCACTTTTAACTTTTATATAGCTTGTTTAAATCAGTTTTCGCTATTTGAGATTTTTATACATGTCCTTTAATGATGAAATCTAATTACTATAGCTACTCTTAAAGGCCCCGTGCGAAGTTTGAAAATATCGTTTAATAAATTAGTAAATTTTATCTTTTCATGAACTATTTGAGATATGTTTTGGAAAAATGTGAAAAATTCACAACTTTTTGAACAAAATATCCTTGAAATTAAGGTTCTGCATACCACATTTTGATAACATTGGATAAGACTATGATATAAGCAAACGTGTTTTAAACTTTACATAGGGTCTTTAATACACCTACCTCTTTGATACATTTATGATATTTAGTATGATATAAGTAGAATAACTTTGTTTTCAGAACCTATGGAAACAGAAACAGAGATAGCTAATAATCTGAGCAATAGTTTTATCCTGGAAACCATGGCAGCTATATGTACAGAGCATTCCCTGGTTAAACCGATAGTACAAATTCTAGTCCAGTATATGAAGCGTGACGTAAAAGGTATAGTTAACACATGTTTTAAATCAAACTTTACGGAAAAAACATATTCCATCACATGTTTGTATACTGTTTACGAAAACTGCAATCATAAACAAGCAAGTTCAGTCTGTCTTAGCATTTTCCTGTCATTCCAATTTTATGTCACCTACAGAAGTGACGATATATTGGTATAGTCTCCAACTTTTTTTTGTGTTTGACAGTATGTGTTCGGTGTCTGTAGCAGGTGGTGACATTTTCCATGTTAATGCCTTGTTAAAATCATGTACAGTTAATTTGAGACATTTTTTGAATGAAATAGGGAAAGTTATGTCAGCATTTAGTTGGCTAATGTCCACTTTGGCTTACATTTTGCCTGTCCAATTTCATTTTGCCTCACCTATTATTGAATCTCTACTATTTTTGTTGTTAAATTGTAATGGAAATAAAGCATGATATGCAGTATTCAATGAGCCATGATTTTGTTAATTAAGATGTATACGTGTGTTTTGATTTTTCAGATTCCCCCTCCCTCAGTATAGACACATACAAGGCAGCTGAGTGTGTATTATCAGTAGTAAAACAGTCTGCAAACTTTACTGGAAATGTGGACTTTTATACATCTCAGCTTATGCCAGATCTTATCAGAATATGTGTTCACAGTGCAATAGATGGGGCTAGTAGTACCAATTCAAATGAGGGTGTTCTTACCCATGTTGCAGCAGTGCTAAGGACCATAGTGCAACAGTTGTCTCAAGGGTATGTTAATGATATTTGTATCATAAATTTCTATATAGTTCATATGCAATATTAAAAATACCACATTTTCTTTATTCAGTACTATCATGGGCTCTAATTGAAAGCCCATGGTACTATTAAGAGTACATCAAATTTCATGACTGAATATTGTTCATGACTTTTGTGCATTTATATTACATTTATATAAAAAGCAACTGCCTCAGGTTGTTGTGACTTGATGTAAGTATCTATGCTTCTAAATCCATATAATATCAAAGTATGATTGTATGATTTCAGGCAGGCTCTGAGTGTACTTGGAACTGCAAATTGCATATTTTTAGAGGGAAACCTAGAATCAATTAACATTACATCTGATCAGCCATTTCTACCTCTAGAGGTTAGTGTGTATTTTTGTTGATGCCCTATTAAAATAGAAATTGCAGAAATTGTACCTTGATTGAATTATGAGTTCATTTTTGACGAATTAGTTCAAGCAGAAACTGTTTTAATCCAGAATCAACAACTGCACATTTTAAGATAACCACTTTTGATTTTCCATACTACAACCTTGTCTTTACCATGTAAACTTTTGTTCACACTTTTTCAGCTGTTTAAAACATTGATTTGAAATTTAAGAGTATGTTCCTCAGTATGATTAGATACTTGACATTCAAGTATAAAGTATGTATTCACTTGATAAAATTTCTAATTAGCTCTCATGGGTGGGCTATTGTAATCGCCCACTTGTTTTAATGTTTGTCAGATAAATTCATAAAGCTGAATGATTTTTAGGTATCTTCACCGGAAGGCCACCATGCTACTCTGCCACTATTCACTGCAATTGTTTGCTCCCTTCCCTCAAATGTAAGTCTACAGTATGTGTGACCTTTTGCTTATAAGTTTGTCGTAAGTTAATCTGACAGTAGACAATCCTTAAAGCATTGTAAGTTAAATCATACCAAAAATTCACCCCAGTTTCTAACGTGTTTTGGCATCAGTTCTGAATAGAAGGGATCAGTGAACTCAATAAACATTCTGAGTGATGAAATATGGACAAAATTATAACTATATATATAAGAAAAGTATTTCACTAAAATACAAAGGTAAACAGCCCAGTGCTAACTACAAAGGAGCCATCTTACTGTCACTGTTGAATATTTTCAGACCAGGATAGAGGATTTACGTGAACTATGTGAAAAGGTGTACAATCTTTGTAAAAGCACTTTGAATATCAAGATCTGTGAAGATGCATCTAAATGTCTTGCTGGCCTCCTTAATAAATATCTCAAAGGTATGCTTTTGGCATTTTCTTAGAATCACAAAAAATTAAAGATATATTATTACAAGTGACACTGTATTTGGTCCTTGTATGTTTTAATTAAATTCAGTTTAGTTTTTCATAAAATAGTTTATACAATGATTTTTGATACAGTACTTTACAGTAATGCATTCGTACAATTTATTTGCAAATTGCAATGTAATTCCTTTCTGTCTGTAAATGAGAAATAGTATTATGTTTATTGGAAAGCAAAACATAAGTTATTGTACAGCAACCTCTTTTTCTTCGATAATATAGACGCAGGCATCCAGGAATTGTTGGGTAACATTCTAGAAGATCTAGGCAAATCTATAGAAGACGCTGACAATGAGACAACCCTGAGGTGTCATCATGTCACAACTTGGACATGGATTACCAAAGCTCTGGTTCTATCTGCCCATATGAAGTCAATGCAATTTACTAAAGAGGTTAGTTTGTTGCCCCAAGACTATTTAAAATGAACAATTCAATACATAGCAGTATGACTCTTGTTTAAGCAATCTTTTTAGGTTTAAAGGTATATCATTACATTCATAATTAATACAGATACTAAGGCTTGGGCAATGTTTCATTGGCTCTGCCTTCAATGAGACAAGAACGTAAAATAATATGCAATGTATGAATTACATGAATGAGTGTATCTAAAATAGATACGTTTATAGTTTGAATTAGATACGATTATAGTATAAACGCTGATAGATTAGATTAATCATACAGTTTTCTCTGCTATTCTATGTAACTATTCTAATATAACTATTTTGATCATATTTTCTTTAGTTTAAGCATTTGAATTTATACATGTAGGAAAACTGCATGCTTTTGAAAGAATTTTTGGTGAAGGGGGGTTCACCTGAACCCCCTCTGACTACTAGCCTGATGAATTGTTAATGAAAACTACTTGTTTTATTATCTGCTTCTCCAGATTGTAAAGTGGTTTGAGTATCCTTTACTTGGTTCTACATCTGCTGAAGGGTTTTATGTCATCTTAAATGAATATGATGACATCATGCTTCCCACAATGCATGCTGATGTAAAGATATTGTACCGACAGCGATTCTTCCAGCAAACACTCCCAATTCTAATGGAAGGTTTCAATAACACAAAACCAGGTAAATAATTAAATGTAAAATTGTAAAAAAATGTACTCATTGTCACTACATAGTGTATCATTTTGAAATGTAAGTTTATTAAATCAAAATACAATGTTCAGCTTATTCTATGCAATATGTATATTTCACCAGACTTTCCTTTTCGTTTTTATCAACATGTTAAATATTGTGTTGTTCCACTGTTTCAGAGTTTAAGCAGCATTATTTGACCGGGCTGTCCCATCTATTGAGGTTCCTCCCTAAACAGGTCCTCAAAACTGAACTGCCACCAGTAAGTCTCTTAAATATGAAATTGAATTAATACCGACACTCAGTTTAATTGAACAACAATATCTTGGAATAAGGACTATTATAAGTATTTTAAAGTTCAATGCAGTTATATCCAAAGGATGATTTGGTCCCATGTCTCATTTCTATTCTATATGATTTTTTTTGTTTTTGTAGTTGATGCCAATGCTAGTACAGTCCCTGTGTTGCAATGTGACATCCCTGCAGCTTGCCACTATGGGGACACTCTATGACTTGCTGTTTGATGCACCCATGGTTCTAGCCAAATATGCTGAATCAACAATTCCTCAGGTTCAGAAGCTGACAAAGCATCAACCATCTATGGTATGTAAAAGATGTATACCTCAATGGAATGTGATAAATTGGTAATTTTTGATGGTCTCAATTGAATGGTCTCAATCATAATGCGTCTTTTTCTGATATAACTTTTGAATTGATTTGAATCGGATGGATATAACATTTTCATATTATTCATATCCCGTTAAGTTTTCTTGTCATTTGAACTTTTGATATTTATGGAAAATGCAAAATCCTGAAGAAAGCGAAAAATATCAAAAAGTCAATATGTGAACAAATTATAAATTGAAACACTTTACCAAGTTCTAACAACTTTTGAATTAAGATATAGGCGAGTGGGAGCAGGGTCAAATATGGAACTTTAATTAAGATTGACTGCAACCGCTCAAAACATGTTGTACTTTCATAATATTGATATGTAGATTCCAAATATGACAATGAAAAGTTTTGAAAAATGGCCCGTAACCATGGAAACGGATGCAAAGTGCCACGCCCACTTTTCATTAGCCATAAAGAATGATAAACACAATATTGGCCATAACTCTTTTAATTTTTAACTATTTTTAATGATATTGGTACCATATTGAAGGTAATAAAATGTCCCGTCACCCTATGTATTATTTAGTCGGTTTCAATTGTTCACCCGGCAATTATGACGTCATAATATCCTTAAATTCCCATTTTAAGGTATATTTAACGAATCGCTCCACATCAATGTCAATTAAATACCTTAGTGGATGTTCTTATCAAATGAAATAAGATTATTTTTGTTCACGTTAATGTGCTCTTTCCAGTTATACCTTTGATGTTACATAACACTTATACACTTTTGTTCTAGAGCCTCTTAAACCCATGGCTACACTATGGTAAAATGCTGAATCCATATTTAATCGCATTTTACTACAATTTACTGATTCTCTGTCTATCATGCGTGTGTATGTCTATGCCTGTTTGCTACCAAACCATTTAGACGTTGGAAAACAAAACGTGGCGCATATGTCCAGTATAGTACCCCCCTCAAATATAAAGTGGTTAAGAACTTGTGATGTCATCTTGTTGCCTAGCAGCCACTTAGGAATGGATTAAAACGCCTTATTATGGCCATTTTGCCCTAGTTTCATCATTGTATAGGCACTAAAACATCTAGATATGGAGAAAGAATCACCCCTCAGCATTGACACTACAGTATATCACTGTCTTTGTACACTGGTTATTGTGATGTCATCTGTGTTGCCTAGAAACCATATAGAAATGTTCTTAAGTTTGCCAAAAAAATGAGATAGTTCATTCAGTATTCTACCATTTACTCACAGGTTATGTTATCAAAACGCTTATTTAAGATTAAGACACTAGTATTATAATCTAAGAAATACCAATGTGTGTGTTCAAAACGGGCACTCTGCAACAAAATAAAATGTACCTGCCTAAGAACCACCTAAAAACGGTCAAAAGCTGCCGAAAATGAGGTATTTTGTCCAAAATTATGTAATTTACAATTTATGCAACCACAAAACACATCTGAGCTTCATAAATACAATGTACAGGGCACCAAATAAGTCTGTTCTCCATCCCCATAATTTTTTAATTTAGAACTATCATAGGTTTATCAAAAATCATCTTAAAGGGAATTCAATTTGCTGATCACACACCAATTTTCCGAATGATAGGTTACATTACAAATTTTTAGAGCATTTTTAGTGATGTCCATATTTCACATTTTTAATAGTTCGTATGTTTCCCCCAAGCAGCTCAGGCAGTCTCAATTCTACGAGGATATGCACATCTACCTTTGGTCCCTACAGTCCCTCAGGTAGATACGCATATCTCCCTCTGGATAAACCCCATATCCAAAACCTCCCAGTACACAACCCTTATATATTTAGGCATTGTGTAGTCATAACATATGCCTAGCAAACACATAGCAATGGTTCCTAGTCAACTCAGACCCTAGTTAACTTTGACCCTAGTCAACTCAGGCCCTAGTCAACTAGTACCAATGTATTTCTGAATCTTTTTTTCGATATTTTGAGTGTTAAAGTGAAAATTAATATATAAAAGCAAAAGTGTTCATATATAATTGCAAGAGTCAATCATAATTCATACATTCTAATTGTGAAATCAAATAGGATTAAATATGCCTAAAATGTAGTCATCAATAGTATGATTTTACATGAAGCTTTAATAATATACCCAAAATGTATTACAAACAATAAATGTTATTTTCAAGCTGTACCTTAAAACAAAAATCTACTGATATATTTCTTCATACTGCATATTGGAATTAATGTAGTACCTCTATATTTTGTTAACTTCAACACCCTGATTAAATGCTTATCGAAATAAAAATAGAATAGAAATCATAGTAAGCATTAGAAAATCATTTAGAAGCATTTAAAATCAAATCCAAGGCAAAATCTGAATAATCGATTTGATCAATCAAAAAATATCTTTATGAATGTGTCCGGTATGTGCTTAAATATGGTATGTATACTTGCGTTGATTGTTAAATTGCAACATAGGTAGGGTAAAGAATATGTCAAAGTCGTTTGATCTCGTTCCAGAAGCAATATTTTGTCACTTGTATCTCCCAGAATACCTTTAACTAGGGTCTGAGTTGACTAGGTCCAAGTTGACCAGATACACCTAGCAACAGTAAAACATTTACAAAAATGATGTATTTTTGTCAGTATTATGGCAGCCATTTACTTTCACTAATTCACTAGGCATAGCTAGGGGGAGCCATGACGTTAAAATGTTAACCAATCAACCACTTGGCAAAGTTAGGTTATGGACTAAAATGGTCAGTTTTGGGCAATACTATGTCAATTATAGGTAGTTTCAGTTGATGTCATTTTGACTTCATTTCATATTTTGTTCCCTGTAGTTCAGAATATCTTTAGTAAAGAGTAGTGTATATGCATAATGACACATAGACATACTGATGTTTACTGGTTTGGCAGACAGTTTCAAATAATCAGCTATCAAGTAACTGGCCACCAGCCAATCAGATGCCTTAATCTTCTTTTCCTGGCTGAATAAATTTTCATCAATAATGGGTGTCTGAACTTGGGTGTGAGAAACTGATCATGTGAATCAGAGTAACACAAGATCTTGAAGAGACAAGACCTCGTTAGGAACGAGATTGAGGGTGGGTCCTCCTTAGACACCATCAATACTATTTTTCAAGGCCTGTCTGCGTCGCTAACATGCTAAATATAAGAGTTAGCTGACGTTTGGGAGTCTGACTTACCTTCTAAAGGTTAGAACCCGAATCTTAATGAAACCATATCACCTTTGTTCCGTCAACCATGGAGCATTTGCCACAACATCCAAGAGGTAAATCACGGATCGAGAAAATGAATGATTTCCTTGTAAGTTCCGGAAGTTTCAATACGAAAAATTACCGAACATATGTGAAAACCGAATATTTGTTCGTTGTTTTCACGATTTACAGGTTCGTTTGTTCTTCAATGTTTTGGTCTAAATTATAAAGCATCACCAACAGGTCTTTCTCTATTAATCGACTAATACAGCAGACGGCTCATATTTCTATGTAGCATTTCATTCAGACCAATAGTGGGAGTGTAGATCACGCAGTTTCGTTCGTTGAGCAGAGAATATATTTCCCAAAGAGATGTGCCGACTCCCAAAGATACACAATCATAGTGACATTAAATCATATATGGACATTTGTGTTTTCTGTCTCATCTTTGTTGGAATAGATTTAAAAATGTGTATGCAATTGTTTCATGTGAGCCATCTTTAACTGCGGTAACACCAAACAAGGTCGGCACTCATAGAAAAACCTCTAAGAGTTATTATTGATCGCCCCTGATCTTCTCTTTAATGAGCATACGGGATACTCAGGAAAAGGCAAAGCGAGACATTGGTGGCAGTGATGGGTTCTGTTGCCCAAAGAGATGAGATGTCAAGGAAGTTTGAGATTAAGTCAGAAATCTTGGATGAAGAGGATTCCAGAAGAAATGGTTAAATTGGTTCCCAAGTTGTGATTGAAACAGCTTGAAACCCCTCCAAATGAAATGTGTCAAGAAGAGCAGTCTTGTCTGGAGAGAAAAGTGAGATGCTCCTGGTTTTAAAGTGGATGACACACTAAAAGTGGGCCAAAATTAGAGAGCCAAGACGACTCCTAGTGGAGAGACCAAAGTATTTCCAAAAGAAATGAATCCAGATTGGGTGAATCCAGACTAAGACCATATGTACTGACTTCTTCTAGGTCTGAGTTACCAGAAAAATTACGAGGTAGCAATCTAAGGCACTTCGATCGGCGTGTTGTCAGGACAATGTCAGAATTTTAGGGGCAAATATACAACTTTGACATCTTACGTACAATTTGTGGCACACAAGACCAGTATATTCTGTTGAAATAGACCCAATTGTCCCGACAACACCCTCATTAAATTGCTTCAGATTGCTACCTATACATTGAGACCGATGAGGCAGCTTCCTCTAACTTCATCATTTGAGACTGAATACTCTATCTTTTATGAGTACTGGTATCTACAACTAATTTTAATGCTATGAGTATTGGCTATAAATTTTTCAATTTTTTCTTCAACATGTATTGTAATGACTTCAGTATGAATGAAATGTCATTTGTTGTTCTGGTCCTGGATTCTGATATTGTTGGTTCTTGATTGGAGGGGGGAGGGGGATGTGAGACATTGTTTCTTTTCACGTTAGATCATGGTTTTGGGATATATAGGGTCTACTTTTCTTATGACAGATTTACACTTACAGTTTGCTTTTCTTGTCGGGTTTCCTTAAAGTTTTTAGTCACCCTTCCCTTTTGGCATTTGTGCTTATATATTCAGCAGACATTCCTGGTATGAGAGGAGATCCTGTGACTCACTGTAAGAGAGAATTGAATTAAACTGAATCCCAAATGATGTCTTAAAGGTTTGGGAACTCTGAGGTCAAATGTTATAAAGATGCGAGAGTAATAGTACAGCGCTCAGATGCTATCAAGGACAGGCTATAAAGGCTAAATTTGCTGAGAAAGCATTGGGCATGTATGAGATGGCTCTAGAGTTAGCACAATTTGGAAGGAAAACCAAGATTAAACAAACCCCATTGTTTGATGGGAACACACTGTGGTTAGACTTCAAAGCATACTTCAAGAATTGCATGGTGAGCAAGCAGAGAAATGATTAAGAGGCAGGCCTTATACTAACCAGTTGATGGAAGATATTAAGCGCAGCAGCTAGTGCAGGAGCTGGAAGAGGGGTATGCCTATGATGACCTGGTGGAGGCTTTAACATATCTCTAGATGCCTTGCTCTTCACAAGATAGACTAGCGAGGTAGAGCTCTGGGAATGCCATAACTGATGATGATGAGCAGCAGTACACAGAAGAGAAGTCTCTTGATCAGGCCATGGAAGTGGCCCAGAGGGGGGAAGCGTATCAGGAATCTGAATGAATCCAGAAAGGACTCAAGCTAATACAACGGGATCATCATATCTCATTTTCTTCTAGTGATCATGTGGGGGGAAACCTCCTTAAATGGTTGAAGAAATAAAGACGGAGATGAAGAGGAATATAAAAGAGTCTGTCAAACGTTTCCAGAAGAGAGCTCTGTGCACATTGTGGCATTAATTGTAGGAGTTGTTGTGAGAAGGTACATGTTTTGTAGAGCTGTCAATTGGTATGTTTTGATTGATCAGCCTAAGGGCACATGTCTTATGTTTGGCTAAAGCCCCAAAAGAGGTCAGAAGAGAGAAAAGCTCCCCGAGAGTAAGAGTTCTATATCCAGTTACTCAGCAATTCATCCTGTACAATTTTTTAATCTGGATAGAAGCATGGTTACCAACTCTTGCAAGGCACAAACAGTGAGGAGAATAGTTGAAACCTAGCGAGAGAAATGTCCTTGTTCAAGCTGATTGTTCTGTTGCTGCTTGTGGCTGCTGTTTATGGAGATGGCATGAGATGGGAGAATAACCTTGACGCAGATGGCGATTGCTGACATTAACAGCATTAACAGAGAAGGAATTCTGAGAACAGATTTCATCAGAGCTAGCGTAGCTGTGATCCACTATGGTGCTGTGCTGATGTGTTTTCCTGAACCAGATGAGTTATAAAATGAAGAGCTTTGAGAGCTCAAAAGCAGGCAAAGGAGATCTAACTCTGCTATCATGGCACCATAATACACATCGTTTATATCGTTAATATAAGATGGTTAAAAACCAAGAAAGTTAGTCAAAATAGGATTCATCGTCTAAAAAGTACATGGTAACCATGGGAACGAGTGTTTATGGTATGCTTACCAACATGAAAACTTTAATTTATCAGTATATCTAGATGGTTGACATACTCTTCTTTGTATTGGAAATACATATACCTACTTTTAACCATTATTAAGACGTGAGGCCATTAAAACAATCTTATCATATTGTTAATATATGGAATATTGATGCCAAAGCAAGGGTTATGACGTCATAATGTATATGTAAAAATAAAGCTTATTAACATAATTTATGCAGGATGTGAAAGAACTTATTATTACGCTTCTTCTGATACCAATAATACTAAAATTGCTTAAAAATAAAGAAAGTTACAGTCCAAAATGTTTTTATTGACTGAATTGCTGAAAAGTTCACGGTAACCATGGCAACGAGTTTTTATGTTATTCTAACCAACATGCAGCCTTCAATATCAGTATATCCGAAAAGCCGAAATACTCTTGCTTGTATTGGCACTGCATTTACCTACTTTCATCCATTTTCAAGAAGTTTAACTAATAAAACACTGTTATTTTATTGTAAATATATGGAAAATCGAGGCCAAAAGAAGGGCTATGACGTCACAATGGATACGCAAATGAGCCAATTAACATAATTTATGCTTGCGGTGAAGGAACTTATTATTTCGCTTCTTCTGATACCAATAATGCTAAGATTGCTTAAAAACAAAGAAAGTTACAGTCCAAAACGTTTTTATTGCCTAAATTACTGAAAAGTTCACGGTAACCATGGCAACTAGTTTTTATGTTATTCTAACCAACTCCAGCCTTCAATATCAGTATATCCCAAAAGCCGACATACTCTTGCTTGTATTGGCAGTATATTTACCTACTTTTATCCATTTTTAAGAAGTGTAACTAATAAAACACTGTTACTTTGTTGTAACTATATGGAAAATTGAGGCCAAAAGAAGGGTTATGACGTCATAATTGATATGTAAATGAGCGAATTAACATTATTTATGCTTGAGGTGAAAGAACTCATTATAACGCTTCAGCAGATACCAATAATGTGAAGATTTGTTAAAAATCGAGAAAGTTACACTCTAGAATGTATTAACCACCAAGTAAGAAATTTAAAAAGTGGGCGTGGCTTTTGCGTCCCGTTTCCATAGTGATCGGCCATTTTTCAATTTTTATTATTGCCATTTTTGAAATCTGCATATTCATATTATGAAAGTCAGGTATGACTCATGCGGTTGCAAGCTATCTTAATTAAGGTCAACAAATAAGGCCTTTTTGCTGGATCTCCCACTCGCCTAATAGGTTTTACCATAATCTTACATTGCGCCTTAAGCTGTGATTATTACTGCAATTGATATCACCTCTAATTTCAGAAAGTACGTATACTAGCCCTACAATGCCTGGGTTTGATGACAACACTACCTCACCACATTCTCTTCCCATTCAAGTCAAAGATTCTACATACACTAGGAGAAGTGGTTGATGATAAAAAGAGGTTGGTCAGGAAGGAGGCAGTGAAAGCTAGGACTGAATGGTGAGATTTCTCATTTGACAATCAACTATAGCTTATATAATATGTGTCTCATTTGCCACATTATTTAGAGTGTTTAGAAACTTTAATGAGACTGTTTCAAGGTTACATTAGGATATAATCAAAATTGTAAAAATGATAATGATAATTAATACATCACTAACCAGTGTTAACATGTTTGTTTGTTTGTTTTATAGGTATTTGCTTGGTGCTCCATCTACAAAGACCTGATGCTGATGGTATTGCGGTACATCCTTTGTTGAATCTGTACCTCTTCTGGCTGGATCTGTGGATAAACTACACCATTAGACAATCCCCAGTGTTCAACTTGAGTGTGTGATCAAGAGAGAAATAACATATAGAAGGATGAGATTGCTTTAATTCGGCCTTCTGGTAATGCGCTGTTGAATTGTGCATATTTTAGAAAATATAGCACTTGGCTTAGTGTTACACTAACAATTCTGATTCCCTCTTGAGTGTTGAAGTTTCACACTTAGAGTGTGTTTCAAGTAGTGACATCTTTAAATTGTGTTGAAATGCATATCAGCCTTTTCAGAATCTTACAGAAAGTAACTGGTTCATCGTCGTCTACCCAGGAGACCTTATTTGTGGGTTCATGAAGACTGGGAATGACCTCCCAATGTAGCATGTCGCTATCTACATATGAAAGTGAACCTCTATTTATAAACATCAGAAGGATTGCTGAAAATTATTGATCAATAGATAATTCAAAATTTTGTAAAAAACGCTAGGAACAATGGAATATAAAATTTCTGTCGTAATCAATCAATATAACGACTTCAGGATAAAGAAAGATGTGAGGAATTACGTTTATGAAGATATAGACAACATTGATTGGTTGTACTGAGATCTCATCCTTTAGGGCCTTGAAAACCTATGAAAACAAAAATAGAATCACCTCGAAACTAATTCAATAACCCAGGCACTCAGGCAGCAGAGTTAAGAATGCACAATTGTATTCTGAGTGTTTTTAATGCATATAACTTATAAATAAAAAACAAATAACGAACATACAAAAAATGTTAATTTTAATTTCAAAATACAAGATATTTTAAAAATCGGGTAAATTCATGAACTATGATGTATAACCAATTGCGAAAAAGATATTTAATTATGTCAAAGATAAAATTGTAAAAAGAAAATTTCATTTGGTAAATGATAAATGCAAAAATCAGACAAAAAATCGAAGTATTTTTATCACTGGTAATTATCAGGAGGTAATAAGTTTTATCAAATCTTTGAAAGTGTTGAATTAACGTGACTTAATCAAAACTAATGCCACAACCTCTGGATCATTACCGCGATTAAATATTATCCAAAAAATGTTTGTGTGCATTGCATATTTGCAGTGAACTGGGTCCATGCTGTTTTGAATAGGCGTACGTCACAAAAATTGTCAACAAAACGGAATCATTGGAAACCTTTTTCAACAGTTCAAAAGCCAAACTCATTGATTTCAATAGACGTAATATTGAGTAAAGAATGAACCGAGTATATTGAATGGTAGTTTTGTTAGAACTTGCCAAATAAAACAAATGAATGGATATAAAGAAATGCCTCGAATTAGCAAATATTCTACAAAAGTACAAAGTGTTTTTTATGCTGAATTTTTTGGGGCTAAGATTTAATGTTCTGAACTTGAATAAAAACTCAATACTTGAGATTCGAATCTTTGAATTAATAGAATACAAGTGAGGTAACAAAGGGGAAAGACCATTGCCCCGCGGTTATTGCCCCATAAAAAAACATGAAACAAGATAAAGGCAAATGTATATTCATCCAGGTTTGTATGACGTTAACAATAAATATGCCTAATGGAAATTGAAAATAGGATCAATGAAGTGTATCGCTATAACTACAATTATAACAAACAATTGATACATATTTTATATATGAAATTGGCTATTTATTTGTTTAAGCATTTACATGTAACTGGACATGAGATGAAATTATGTTTTGTCCAATGACATGGTATTTTGATTTACAAGTTTTCAGTAATTCCAACCGGCTTGCAAGTCGGAGATGATAAGTACCATCAAGAAATATTTTTTATGTCATTGTTTGTTTCATTCTCACCACCCCTATTCCTAATAACATCCATTGAATTGTCTCTGTCATTAGTCCTAACGTTGCTATCAACAGTTTTCATATTAAAATCCTTTTTATCAGCTTCAACACTTGTTGGAAGTTCTTCGTCTTCTTTACATTCATTATTGTTGGTGTCCATATCTTTGACATTATCACCTGGTTCATTATGTAATTTGGCATCTGATTTTAGGTTATCATCCTTTATATCTCCCTGAGTTTTATCGTTTTTGCTTTTACCATTCAAAGGTTCACTTCCTCGTTCATAAACTATTTCACAAGTTGCCTCTGATTTATTGTCCATATTTGCTTCCATTGAAAATGGATTATCAATATCAGTGCACCTCCCTTCTGTTGATTGAATATCATTGACATCATCCAACCATTTCAGAATAGAGTTGGCTTTTTCTGGCGAACAGTATATATCCATAATGTCATCTTTGTCCGGATCGTAGTTTGCTTTATCTGAACTTAAAAACCCTTTCATTGTACCGCCTTGTATAATAGTGTCATTTATGGGTTTTTGTGATGGCTTGTATGTGATTTCTTTACGGTTGATCACAAAACTTGTACTCCTTTGCACTGAGTCCTTTGTGGATCTCTTCTCCGGTATGCCATCAATACCAAGGGTTGTTTTTGAACGTGTAATTGGAGTAGATCCATTTTTGAGAATACCCCGTATGAATCGACTTCTAGAATGCGCCGTTGGCTCGGGCGAGGGAGATGCAGTGTTCCGTAGTTTGCGCTTTGTTGACCCTTTAAATGAAGTACCTTTTCGAGGTACAATTTCGTTTGCACTATTGGAGGAAGTTGCAGTGTTAATAATTGTACTTACATCCGGTTTGGGATCAAATCTCACACGTTTTGATGCACTCCTTCTTGCGACAGTTCCATCTCTTCCCAATCGAAATGGAGTTAACCCCGGATTTGTTGGCGATACAAACGTCATTGTCCCAATTGATGTTTTCTCAACGACGTTACTTGTGATTCCTAATTCCACAAATGATTTTTCCAGTCGTTTCTGATCACTATGCCTCGGTGAATTGATTGATATCTGTGGCTGGGGATATTTTATTGTTTTGTTTCGCTTAACGTATGGGAGTCTTTCTCGGTCTTGCGCTGTTTGCCAGTATCCGGACATCCTCGGGGTGGGAAGGCTATGTCCTCCCACATATATTGGCTTTGGTTTCAACCTGTATATACTAGCTTCTGGAGAGAACTCGGGATTAAAGGCCATGGTATCCAATGAAGTCCTTACGTTTGACATTGTTCTTCCTTATCCAGTTCAATTTTATTATAGTTATCGATGCTGACAACCTTCTTACGAAAATTCTTGAGTTGAAGATTTTGTTATCACAAATTGTTGATTGTATTGTGTCCACTGCTCACACTTGATTCGACCTGTAAAAAACAAAACCATGGGTTCATATTTATGGTTGTTTTTTGGAAGTAGTATGTTGTTTCCCATTATACCTATTCACCCATGTAATCTGATACTTGGTAAACAAGTATGCCAATAGAATATAATTATGAAAAACAATATTTTACGTAGAACGCGTTCTTATCACTATGAAACAATACCTCGATGGTTCCACTTGCCTTTTCTAAGAAGAATATTATCGACCTTTGCATTCAATACCGGTTAGTATTATTACTTTGTTTCATCTTTATAGTACTATACATAAACATGGAAAACCTGTGGTGAAGAGTTTTCTCATTCCAAGTAAAACAATCTCATATTCACCAACAAATTCAAGCTCGAAAAAAATTGGTTCTGTTTTTTTTTCTCCATAGTTTTGAGGAATGTAAGGATTTCGGAATGCATAACATCCACACTCCACTGAATAATACACACCATGGGGAATACACATTTAACTTCATTTTATTATATTTCAATGAACAGAAGTTACTTATCGATTCTTCTTAACCTCAACAGTAGTACTTACCTATTGTTTCATACATGTCCACATCCATCTTTCCATGGGCTTTCAATTAGATTTTCTATCACAGGATGAATAGTCCTACGATTGTTAAGTAACAGACTGCATTATTAGACCCTCTTTCGGCGATCTCCTGTCTTGTTCAATTCTACATAATGAAACGCCTATAGAAAGTTTGAGATTTTTTCTGTGGAATAACACTATACGTCAGGGCCATTGAAATTAGAGAAAAAGAATATTGATAGTTCTTTCATTGGTGTTCAAAGGGGTTGCTATGTAACTGAAGCACTTGCAAACAAACTAACAAAAGATTTAAACTTTTGGGGTAAAAAGCACAGACATTGAACACACTTGTAAATATACATGTGTATGTTTAGTTTATTTGTATGTTGACTTTCACCGTTATTCACACATTAACAACACTGAAAGACGAAATGGTAAATTGAACATTATTCCATTCATTATAAAGGGACTTGCTTCTGATACATGTATACAGTACCACCATGGCAATACGCCGGGAAGGTTTACAATATATTTTTTGCTCATAGCATTCCTTGTCATGCCTTAAGTAATTTCTAGAAAATCCGAGAATGGTAACTTCTGATTTTATTACAATTGCTTTATGAGGTTATGAGGCATCTAAAAAATCTTGACTTTTCTGCATTCCAAATCTAAATATCAACGTGATAATGAAACATGTATTTCACATTTTGATTTTGGATCTCAATATTTGAACCGAATAAATCAAACATTCCACGAATATCTCAACTGCAGTATTTTAAATCAACAAGACCCTTTAACAAAATAATACGAACTTTATATATGTGGAAATAAACCATTTGCACATTGTTAGATGTCGTTGTTTTTTATCCCGATCGCTTTGAATGCTCACGAGACACTGCAGACAGGAGAGAGGAAGACCTGAGCTAATCTCATCGAAATATAACCTAGAGTTATAAGTATATCATCAAAAGCGAGATGAAAGAGTCATTGCATCCTTCAAGAGCGGGCTCTTTTATAGAAATCATTGAAATACCGTTGGACCAAGGGTAGGTTATTGTTGATGGACAAGATATTTACATGAAGTCCGAAATGTCATATTACTGTGATAAATAAAGAGCGAGTAATAAAAGTGAGATAATGTGGATGGCATTTAGCTTGGAAAAATGATAGGATCAGGACACTGTATGCTATGCTATATGCTATAGCCACACTTTCAGTCTAGGGATTTTATGAAAAATATGAGACATAAAAATGTAACTTTTTACGTCATACTCATTTTTACGATACCCTGCATGCAGTCTAGTTAAACTACAGACGAAGACGAAGCTCTCTTTTACACCCCAGTCACATTTGTCGCACGGCGGCCGCAAGTCGACCGCAGATCAATTAAATCGGTGAATTTTTGCGGCGAGCGTAGTAAAACTACGCTCGCCTTGCGGCCTCCGTACGGCGTATGCAGATTTTTACAGGCCGCAGGGAAGGCGTAGAAATTATAACTCGGAGTTATAATATTTGCTCATTTCTGAGGTCCCCGTAGAAATCAACTGGCTCAACAAGATTGAATCATTATTTGTCAATGTTTCACGATCACTTTTCATTTGATATTACATCCTAGCACTATGAATAACATTTATAAATTGTCCCGATGTAAATAAAATGAAAAAAGTATTATTTATCAACAAAAATTTAAAATTCACCGTGCGGCTGCCGTGGGAAATGGGACTGCAAAAGTATGAGAGCGCAGAAATTCCATGGCGAGCGTAGAAATGTTACTGGCCGCAGAAATGATAGATCGCAGGGTCGCCGTAGGAAATGTGACTGGGGTGTTACTGGCCGCAGAAATGATAGACCGCAAGGTCGCCGTAGGAAATGTGACTGGGGTGTTAAGAAGTGAAGTCAAACGAATGCAAACTCAAACACGGCCATTCTGTGATGATGGTTGAGAGTGTTGGAAGTGCTTATCATCTCTGTGAATTCCCCCGAATCACATCAAAGTTATACTCAGTGTGGGCCAGTGAACTAAAGGTCCGTGTCTCTTACACCAGTCCCATACAAGATAATGGAACATAATTTTATTTCATCATAATATAGGCTACTTTGATCTCCACAATATCCTTGCTTACCACCAACATGGATTTGAGCTAAACACTTATCTTCAACATTTTGAGTTAACCAATGAGAAAATAAATCACATTGTTTTATTATTAGTGAAATCGGGTGTCTCTAAGGAACTGTGCTCGGACCGCTCTTCTTTCTTGCTCATATCATTGATATAGGCAGCGACTTATCACCAACAACTAGCCAAAAGTATTTGCAGATCACAGCCTCCTTTTCATGTCCGTCGAGAACCATCAAGACACACTAACACTCTAGGATGACCGTGATCAACTGACTGGTCTCGTTGGCAAAACTACGTGGCAAATGAAATTCCATTCCTCATTCTTCAGAAGTATATGTTTTGTTGATTTTTTATTTGCTCGAAACATGGACCTCTGGGGATAAAGGTTCATGCTCGAAATAACGACCAAGGACGTAATTCGATCGAGCAAGGTCTGTCTGCGAACAAAACAGAATGGCCGTCAAAACTATTTTGAACAGGCTCGAAGTTCAGGAGCACCTTCCCGTTGTAGCACGTTTGTGAAGTTCGTAAAAATATCCAAATGCACGGTTAATCCGTTTGCATATGTTTACACTCGTCGGCAAACTATTTTCAGAACGTACATGTATTGACAACTATTAAGAATTGAAGTGACTGTGGATACTGGATAGGGTTCCGACAGGTTATGCCATTATGTGCTTGAATGACCAAATACATTAAATACAAAATAATCATGTTGTTGCTTTTTTCACAGATTTATTCACAGATCACTCCTGCCACCTTTCGACCGTTGCAGTTTTTCCAATCAACATATATTTTATCATATTCATAATGAGTAGTATCAATACAGATAGGATAATTTAGTTCAGATAAATCGTTATTGCCATAATTGAAATTGCATTGGCCAATATGATGCTCGTTTCCAGTACATTGTAAATCATCAATGAATGATAAATCATTCCTCCCCGTAATTGGAACTTTTCTTTCATATGTTGAAACGTTTCCATATGGTAGACCAAGTTGTTGACAAATAACCTTGGCTTCATTCATACCCAATGTTGAGGAGCATACCTTTCTCCACGTGTAACCAACATAAATCTCAACCAGTCCTGAGTTTGCGGTTTTTCTACGTTTCAATCGAACTTTTATCTCTCCGCATATGACACTTGCCCTTGTTGCATCAGGACATGATGCATTTTCACCATAGTTGAAGGAACAGTCGGCTAGATTGTATTCATCACCATTGCAGACAACATCACTCATATAAATATTGATACTCGGTGTACGATTTTTAACATCATCATAGTCGTAGTCATCATAGCAAGGATACTTGGAGAATGTGTCAATTGCAGCATCCTTTGGATCAAATCCTGATGATGCATCAAACAAAATATTTTATAATTCAATAAATATGTCATTGTTTAATGTACTTGTATATTTACATCCTAGATAAGCATGGGGAATATAATGAATACATTACCTTGCTGTCGACATGCAACTTTTGCTTCGCTGATGCTCCATCCAGTTGAACAAATAAAAAAATCATCATATGAAGTTTTATCTGGAACATCAATTTTGAGAATTCCATGTGCCAGGGCATAGTGCCGCAAGTCAAATTCGTGCACTTGAAAGTCAACGAAATCGGTTAATTCTGAAACAGAGTATCAAGATGGATTATAACTTCAACTGACCTCGTATTGTGCATTCTGATGCTTATAGCATCTCTCTCACTATGCATCGGAGGTGTCCAGAAGGGCAGAAACGAGGAAAGCGTGGCTATACGAGGGACCTTGTGTGAAACTGAAAACCGATCATCATGATAAACCACGACATCTCATTTCTTCTCATTCCTGAGATGTTTCAGGTGAAACAGAAAGATCCGATGAGTATCAGAATGGAAACCGATAGAGATCAAGAATTTTGTCCAACATAATTTGAGACTGGATCTCCATCGTTTACGCGTAATCTTCAAGGCTAGTTTTGGTGGAGAAAATTGATTCTTATTTTTTCTCATTGGATGATGTTTAAGACTACTTGTACTGTTCGTAAAGTATGGTGGTTTCAGTGTCTCTAAATTCTATTTTGGTCAATTGTACATCTATTGTATCACCGCGCACCTCATTTCAGTTAAAGAAAAGAATGCCATTCTTGTTTGACACAACATTACCTGGTTCTTGGTCAAAGCAGGAAATGAAGTACATGTTGTAGTCATCACAATGCGCTCTCGTAACATTACACATCTGAAGGGCATCATATTGGGCACATAAAAGTGAAACCCCCTTAGTTATTCTGTCTTGTTTTTTCTCTTGATTAAATGAACCATACATTCCAACTTTACTATTATTGTACCCCAAGGTAAAGCACGTCGAATCTGCCAATTCCTTGCTTCGGTATGAGTAGATGGATCTTCCACCGATACAAACCTTGTTCCATTTTTTCTTATACCATACTTCAAGTTTACCAGTTGTATTGCTCTGGCCTCCAACTAATCGAGGCCTCATTGATGTATCGACGCATGATATCTGTATTCCGTTTGCCCCACACTCTAACGCGCGTTCCTTATGCCAAGTACTTGCACTCCCGTACAGCGCCGTCCATTTAGTATAAGAACATTTTCTCAAACTTTTCTCGGTTCCATTGCAGTTTATATTAGTTATGATTTGTCTGTTGTACTGGTTCATATAGATAGGCTTAATTTTATATGATTTAAGGGTGAAGCCAAACTGAGCTTTAAAACCCAGTTGTTTACAAACAACCTTTGAAGCTCCCTTTGTCCAGTTGGTGCCACAAACAGGGAACCATTCACCTAAACTGTCTATCACTTGGAGTTGGCCAAACGAACCATCTTTTAAACGGATCTGACTACTTGGGTTCGGATCTAATAGAAAAGTAAACCAGTACATCAATTCAATTAATAAAATCAAAATTAAAGGATTGCTATCGATATGGCGAACATTGTTTTTTTCTGAAACCAATTATTGAAAACATTTTGTAAAAAACACTGTCTTTTATGTAATGATCACTGATTGGTACCTGTTACACTGCTAGCATTTTTGTAACGAAGGTTAGCGAAAAATTGTGTCCACACTGGCTTTATCCAACCCTAACGAAGCAATTATTTGGTGTTACACTGCACTGAAAATGCTTCGTTGCGCGTGTGTATTACTCATCTGCCCTGCCCACTTATTTATTAATATTTTCTTATTACAGATAAAATCTAAATATCAAACATGTATGCCACGTCATTCTATTTAGTAAGCATAGATTACGTAATTTCAAAAGTTTACGCTTCCACACATGAGACTGAATTTTCGCTAATGGATTGAATAAACGTTTCAAAACTACCGTATTGGTGTATTGGTATACGGTAAAACCTGCGTTTTTTTGATTTGATACTTTATGGCATATTCATGCGAGGAAAGGCAGGGAATCAAAATGAATGCTATTCGGGAAATTGCATTTTGTACGTGGCGTTTAGGGCTTGAGTTAGCGTCAGTGACGTAATCAGTGACGTAAATAGACAGACTAATTATCTTATTCAATACGCAGCATTATAATACGTACTTAAAAATGTATTTTTCCTCGCGATTTCTCTCATTTAATACAAAATTATAAATATGCTCTTTATTTCGCGCATGCACAAACCGCCAACTAAGCATTTTCTAACAAGAGGAGGGAAAACCCCATGATTCAATTGATGACATACGATTTCCTCCTCCGTGCACCTCTTTTCCCGGAAGTACTTATCCTCCATCTTGATTTTCAAAGTTTTCAAATTGACCTAGTTTTAAACCAACCAACGATCGACTCGCTAAACCAATCAGCGACGATGTCATCTCAATACAGATTTACATTATAAGCGTATGTCATCTTTGAACCCTGGGGTTTCTCCCCCTCTTTTTTCTAACGAAGCTACCTGTTACACTGGCCAAAAAAGCTTCGTTGGGACCTAACCTTAGTTGAATTTTCTACTCAATTGCTTCGTTATCAACTTAGCTTTTTTAACGAAGTTAGAAATTGCTTCGTTATGAAGCTTTTTGTCCAAAATGCTTCGTTCAAATGCTTCGTGACGAAGCATTTCAACCGGCCTGTGTAACAGGGGTCATTAACAACAATTAGATGCGAAAATTATTTACCGTGGTATATATATATTTTACATGTTTTGTGAACAATTTTTGTTTTTAGTGCAATTGTTTTTTGTTCCTTTCTACCAATTCTTGAGAATGAAATAAAATATCTTTCCGAACCTTGTTGGAACAAATTAGCTTACACAACATTTTCTTAGACCTCTCAATATTATAGTTATACAAAGGAACGTTTGGCTCATTACCAAAAAGTATTCAAAAAAACATAAGAACCCAAATTAAAGTAAACCTTTTGTTCCATCGACAAGATACTGTTTTTGAATGAACCAAACTTTCCTTGAATTACAATATTGAGAGACCTAAACATGTGTATGTGTCATTTGGTCCCAATGAGGTTCGGATAGATGTTCCATTTCATTCCGAACATATGGTACCGAGAACAAAAGAAGTGTCTGATGTGAAAATGTATGTATTTTTCCCAACTTAAATTGTAAACATTCAAAAGATGACCATAAAATTCACGATGTCTAAACTTTTCAGAATTTTTAGATTACTTGTTTAAGAGAAACATGTGTTCAATTCAGTTCGCCATTGTTACGCGGAATATATATTCCGCAGGTGGGTATGCGATATTCCACAGTGAATATGCGATTCATTGATTTCAGTGAATACCCGATACTCACCTGCAGAATATGTCATATTCACTTGCGGAATATGCCATATACACCAGGTGAATATGACATATTCCGCAAGTGAAAACGTGCTACAGAAAGACTTGGTTTGATTGATTGCGAGAATCGATTCTAAATGTAAAACTACGCTGGATTACCAATATTGTTCGTGCGTCGAGTACTAATATATGAATCCTGGATTGATTGGGTAAGTTTATTACGTGAGATTGGTGAATGATACTTCTGCATACATTGCTATATTCGATAACCTGTACTGTTGATTCAGTAATCATTATAATAATTTATAAAGTTTTACTTTGTTCAATCGATGCAATTGACAATCGCGTACTTCCGTATCACGTTCTCATTTGTAAGTGTGTATGCCATATACCGCAGGTGAATCTGTCATACACCGCAAGTGAATATGCAATATTCGTTGCGGAATATGGCATATTTTTGTATCGTGTTCACCGCGTAACAGCCATATCGATACCAATTCTTTCCTTATGTAATAACGATGCGAATACGATGTGATGTTGAAAAATCAATTTTCAATCAATATTGTATCCATTACATGAAATATTACATAATAGGAATTATTATCTAGTCTTAAACGTACCACTGAATAATTCACTTTTACATGAGACCCAAGCTTCCAAATGTTTATGATGTTTAGAGGAGCATTTTCCAATTGATTGTATGCATTGACCTTGATCGAAGTAGGGGGTACAGCTCACGATATGCATGTCTAATATGTTCTTGTTTTTTGGCAAAATAGGAATACTTTCTACAGGTTGAGCAAATTTCCAATTCACGCCTAGCTGTTGACAAACTTCCACTGCGCTCTTTGGATTAAGTGTTCGGCAAATGGAATGCCATATTCCATTATGTAAGACTTCTATTCTGCCAACCATTGATCTGGGCCCATTTTCAACCAATCGCAATTTAAATTTACACGTCACATGTAAGTCGTTCCCTCCGAGGTAAACCCTTATCATGCGATTGTAGTTGTTAGACCTTTGTAAAGAGCTCTGTCGGCAATCCTTTATTCTGGTTTCATTGCCTAATAAAATGCATGGATATAATAGTCGCCAATAAAGTGCTTGAGGGTGTCATAGAAGTATAAATGCCTAAATTATAAAAAAAATTGTTATTTTGTTGTTAATTAACTAATAGAAAATTCAAATTGTCTCTATATTTATAGTAAATGATTATTTACCCGTGCAGTTAAAGATTTTTTTAAATATTGGAGATTTTCTTGTATAATCTTTTGGGGGTAGCATTTTAAAAGCATTCGTTGGGTTAAAGCCCAATTGTTTACACACGACTTTATGAAGGTCTCCTGTTGTTATCCGACTCACTCCTCCCCAATATCCGTAGTTCTTGATTTCCACTTTGCCACTGTAACCACTTGTGCCAACAATTCGAACTTCTGTTGCAATCTCTTGAGTTATAGAAATATAAAAATATCTGTATGTATTTTTAAATTATTAATTTTGACCATACTAAAACATTTCTCCATGTTTTGCTTAATATAGATAGTATATAAAATGGTTATAGCTACTATTTAAGAGAGAAATAGGTACGCAAGGATGCCTAGCTTAAAGATTCTTCTAGCACCCCAGTCACATTTGTCGTACGGAGGCCGTGCGTCGACCGCAGATTAATTAAATCAGTGAATTTCTGCGGCGAGCGTAGAAAAACTACGCTCGCCAAAAGTGCGGTATCCGTACGGCGAATCCAGTTTCTTACAGGCCGCAGGGTAGCCGTAGAAATTATAATTAGGAGTTATAATATTTGTTCATTTCTGCGGTCCCCGTAGAAATCAACAGAATGTTGCCAGACCGCAGAAAATCCAACGGTGGCCGCACGTCGGGTTTGCCGTTGACTTGCGTCTGCTGTAGGGTTTCATGGGTAATGTACCTTTGGAAACAGTTTTTATGTCAGTTTTCGGTCATATATTTGCTGAAAACACAACACAATACGTATACTGTTTGATGTAAGGTCACTGATACCATTTCACTTGCACTTTTTATTCGATACTATATCCTAACACTACAAACAACATTTATAAATTGCACTGATGTAGGTAGATAAAATAAAAAGAAAAATTAACGTTAATCAACATTAATTCAAAAACTCGCCGTGCGGCTGCCGTAGGAAATGTGACTGCAAAAGTATCCGACTGCAGAAATTCTACGGCGAGTGTAGAAATGTTACTGACCGCAGAATTGATAGACCGCACGGCGGCCGTAAAGCGTCTTCATCAATAGTTGCATGTGTATGACGTTGGGTTACCTCCCGGCCTTACCTGTTTGAGGTCTGCGACATATCAGGCTTACATATTCCCCGTTGACACATTTGGAATCCACGCGTGCTTTTATTTGCAGTCCATCCCAGAGATGTGCTTTGCTAAAGATGAAAATTGTATAAGAATCCCGGCCTCCTTGTGCTGTAACGAGGAAACGAAATGACCAAATCGTAAGTGATACGACGTCAGATACTGTACCACAAAAACAGCAAAATCATAATTTTCTACAATATTTTGTCATTAGTTTAACATATATGTCCATGAAGTATTTTGCCTATCGGGATTCAAAATAATTAATTTGGAACTTTTTAATTGAGAATCATGCAAGTCGTATTATGTGACTTTCTACGCTAAAACCGGGTGTGGACTGTAACATTTTGAAGAAAAATGATTTTAATTTTAAACGAAAAATGAAGATAACTTTTCATTTCTAAACGGATCTTTCTCAAATTTTCACAATATTTAAATTCACCATTATGAAAAAGAAGAACAGATAAAATAAATAACAAATAATACATTCAACAATCCTTAATATTTTCCCGTCTGTGTATATCAGTTAAATATGACAAGGGGCTCTGTGAAAAAGTCTAGAATGACGTTGCGACAACGAGAGCGCAGGGCCGAAAAGCGCGATAAAAAAGAAAACAGGTAGTGTTTGAAATGTCTACTTTCTGGTGATTCCAATTCTGTATTTCGTGACACAACCTTTTTGAGTATAGAATTGTTTTGAAGCCCATTTAAATCTGAACAAAACTCGAAATTTTTAAGAAGATTCCACGAATATTAAAACTTTTGCAATAACTTGGAGGAGCATTGCGCGTATTTATCGCGTAAATATTCGCATTTTTGTCGGTAAAATGAACAATTTCAATGTTACGCCGTGGTGCACAGTATCTGATGCCGTACCTGTATTCATTGGCGAGAGAGGTCCAAATGCACTTAATCCAACACTGTAAGCATCCTTTGGGGTAACTCCAGCCATCTCACAAAGGGTGTTTATAATGAAGTCACGATGGTACCAAAGATATGACGTGTCATAAGGTTGGTAATAGCAAACAGGTCGCCATGCTCCTTCATAGAATATCTCCAGTCTTCCTGATGTTCGTATAGGACCTCCGACTAGTCTTATTCGAGGCTTGCAAACAGCTACTGCATCACCTGGGAACTGTATGGGAGAAAGGGGTCAGGTTCCCGTGTAAAATAAATCATCGAAATTAATTTTCAAAAAGGTTTTTTATAGGTTAAGAATTATCACATTTACATTTTTACAGGCTACCAACTTCCGCAATTTTATGACTGAGAGAAATATTGGATCTTCGGATTCTAAAATGAAGGCTTTCACACCGTTTCCCTTGACTTGCATTGTTCGTCGCCTCCTACACCATGTGCGCAATCTTTCAAAGAATCTTCAGTTCCGTTGCAGTCTACATTTGTTAGCGAGTATTCCCGTTCACCTCTACCGTCTATAGGATTAATGACAACATTTACACATCTTCGTAATAATTTAATTAATCAGAGATATATAATTATATTATAATTATCATATGTCTCTGATTTATATAATGTACCATTCTTGTAGTCATGGGCTGTTTTCCACAAACTAAACGCGAACGGAAGTTACTGAAGCGAGGCATTTGTATGGGCGATTGGTCATACGTATAGGTTTAAGCGTTCCAATTTTAAAGGTAAAGATCAAAAGGTGGATTGGATCGAGTGGATTGGATTCATGTAAAAGGTGGATTGTATTGAGATTCTTCAAAATATGGATTTTCCTTAAAAAAATTATATTGATCTCCCTTCAGACGATTAATGCTCTCCTCACTTCCACAATGTCAAATAATAGATGTCACAACATTTTCTTTGAGTAGGCTAGAAAGGTGACCTGATACACAATATTATTCATTCCAAGGGTGATTTTAGACATTTCACAAATCATAAGGCAGACTTTTGAAGTCGAAGATCCATATCATCTGTTTTCAATTCAAACAGAACATGTCTGGGGAACACCCAGACGTCAATTTGAATGACAGCTTTTATCTACAGATCTATGTTTATTATGTCTTACTAATGTTGATTTACAAGGGAGAGCAGTCAAATACTTTAGAGTATCTATCAACTAATTGAAGTATGTTCATGTATTTGTCATTACTTTGTCGATTCCTTAAAGGGACCCAAGTAATCACAAAATACTTTAGGCCGGAGGAAATTGCTTAGAGGGAGATCAACTAAAAATCCATATTTTGAAGGTTCCCTATCCAATTCACCTTTTACATGAATCCAATCCATTCGATCCAATCCATCTTTTAATCTCTACCATTTTAAATGCAAACTTAAACTCCCTATTATCTCCTTTTGAAAGAATAAAGCCAAATATTTTTTGGAGTTCACATATAACAATATAGCTACTGTAGTAGTTATCTTACACCACGTAAAACCAATGATAGAGTTCAAGTTGCTATCGTGGAATCCCAGTTGTCTGCACACAACCCTAACATCGTTCACATCCCAGGCAGCCTTGCATATTCCTCCCCATGTACCGTTCAAGTAAACTTCAACCCGTCCTTCATTCTCATCTCCACCAGATAATTGTACGTCATAGTCTTTGTTCACGGTCTTCCCTAGAATTAGAAAAACACCAGTCTCCCGTTCCCATATTGAGGTTCAATTTTAGATTTGGCTGAAGAGTCCATATGATCCACAGGCATCCAGAAGTCGTACCTCCTTCTTCCAAGAAGAGAGGAACTTAGTGAATGATGTCTGGAACCCTGCGTTCGGAGGATGATATGATCTAGAGCGAAACATCGCTCCATAACAGTTCTCGTACAAGATGGAGCATTAAGTCTCAAATGATGTGGGACAGAGACAAACCCCGACTTCTCTGGTTAGATCGAATTATACTGTTGCATGTTGATGACCATGATGTCATGTTCTGATCATGATATGCTGTCATGAATATACCAATAACCTCGTTTCAGCGGAATTATGTAAAAATTTAGCCAAGGGGCCGAGATTTCAATTATGTTGCCCCTGAAATGAGATTATTAATAGTTACTCGTTATTCACCAGGGCAGATAATGACCGCACTATGGCCAGGCACTATGTTTCCACATAATGCTCAAGTCAATACAGTAAAATATAATAAGCCTTCTAAGGGGAGGCATCAAAAGTTCAATGTCTGATAGGAAACTAAATAAATCTAGTTTTGAGTTGGACCCCCCTCCCTTTCAAAACTAAATATAATGAAAGTTGATCCCAATTTTTCACATGTTTTAGCGACTCAATTTGGACTTTCATGGGGGCGCAGTACTAGAACTTATTTATGATTCTTAAAACATGTGCCAACAACAATAGGCATAATATTCCATGTTGCATGCATCTTGGTGAAGAAGGCATCTGGTAGTCTTTATTTTTAAACCATTCCAAGGCATTTTGAGTCGAAATTGCAAAAAATTTAAATGTTGAAATTTGTCGGACAGCAAACTGAAATAGCTTTGACCCTCTCCCCCAAACTAGATTTATTTAGTTTTCTATCAGACATTGATATTTTGATGCCTCTCCTAAATTAGTACCAAAAGCTTCACAATGTGGCGATAATGATAATATAAAACAACAACTTACCTTCTTTAACTTGGGACTTGTAAATTAATGATAAAATCAAATATAAGAAATGCAACTTCCTTCTTGTCATGATCGAAGCTGTATTGTCGAATCGTATAAATGTTCCTATTGTTATTTCAAATAATTATGCATTTGTTCTTCATAATGGCGGTGTGGTATTTATCATATCAATTAATATAAACTTTTATTGTCCTACGAATAAGGAAGCATAAATCATAAATTGTGATGAAGAGTTGGAAAAACGTTCTTAAGTGAACTATCCCGTGAAAAGGGTTCAAGATGGAGAGGATATAGTTTATGACATTTAAGAGTTTTTTATAAAAGAAGAGTCAAAGCTATTACATATGGAAGTCAAGTTAGACGAAAGGGCGGCGAAAGGGTAAATTCACTCACAATTCACAATTTTATGCACATCCGCATGTAAATACCAAACGGCTCATAACTTAAATGGTACGAATGTAATATCACGACATCAGGGGCGGAAAAATACAGTAAAATATTAATCCATTGGTTTT